TGATTGGTTTAGCCGACGTCAACAGAATGGTTGTCTGAAGCATTCGATTTCAACACCCGAAGAGGCACCTACTCACATGGTACTCCAATGACGGTCACACTGCACACCGACTCGACCACATCCTGGTAAGGGCCCGTCGGGCTTCGTCTGTGGAGAATTGCCGAGCGTACCGAGGTGCAAAAACGGACAATACAAACGGCATCAACCGTGTTCTCCTACGCGCGTGTTTCAAAATTCATATGTCTTTACGTGCTGGAGTATCTGCACCCTCCAGAATAAACGTTGCTGCCCTAGAAAATCCGGAGAAGCGAGAAGCGATGTCACGCGCAATCACAACTCGACTTACCAACGCAACCAACGTACAAGCAGACGAAGTTCCTGTGAAAGGGCAGTGGACTCGAATAAAGACGACAATCAAGGAAGCTACTTGGACAGCAGTCGCGAGAACAAAAAGGCGGACAAAAGATTGGATCTCCGAGAAGACGTTCCAATTGTCAACCAAAGCACATGAAGCCGAACTGGCAGGTAGTGACGAACGCCGCAGACTGCAACGAGAAGCTACAGGCTCCGCCAAGGCTGATCGCAAAATATACAGGATAGAAATAGCTGAAAAATGGAGACCGTGTCCAGAACTGTTGACTTTGGTAAATTGTTCCGCCTTATTCGCAACGTCTCTAATAGGTTCTGTAAACAAGATTCCTTTCCTTGTGACGCAGCAGGAAACCTAATACCTGCACAGAGTGAGAAAATGGACCGATGGGTGGAACACTTTGGTCAGATGCTCAGCCGGCCTACACACCACCCGACGGACCAACCAATATCAACCCTTCCAGTCCAGTACGAAAGCAACTGTGACCCGCCCAACACCGTGGAAATCACGGAAATAAACAAACTGAAGGACAGAAAGGCTGCTGGGGAAGATGGCATCTCTCCAAAGGTGTATAAAGCATGTTCATCGTCACTGATTGACAGGCTGTGTACACTTTTTGGCTCCATTCGGCGAGAGGAAGCATTTCCACCCGACTGGGGAATGTCCATTCTGCTGCCCATTCCAAAGAAAGGGGATAAATCGGCATGTGAGAACTGCCGAGGGATTAGCCTGATTCATGTGACCGCAAAGATCTTTGGTGCGTTGTTACTAATCCGTTTCTCCGAGGTAAGAGACCGGCGCACTTACCCGAACCAAAGAGATTTCTTCTGTGGCAGAGGCTGTGTGGATCAAATCCTCACACTGTGCCGAATGCTAGAGCACCGCTATAAGCTCCAGCAGCCGACGGTTGCTCGTTCCACCGACTTCCGGGCCGCCTTTGATTCGGTTAACCACAAGTCACTTTGGACCATAATCCAATCCGATGGGATGCTGTTGAAAGGGTACTATTCGACAATTGGTGCTAGGGTTCATATGTACGGTGAAGAATCCTGCGAGTTCGCACTCACTACCGGAGTCAGACAGGACTGTCCCCACTCACCAGCGCTGTTCAACTACGCTACTGATTGGACAATGTGACAGGCATTACACGACTACCCTGGTGTTCAGCTTGGTCAGGAAATATACATCTCGGACCTGGAGTTCGCGGATGTTATTATCGTGCCAGGAGACTACCCCGCTACGCTACAACCAATCCTCAGCCGAATCAATTCCTCCGCGAGGTCCATCAAACTTGAAGTAAATTCGACCAAAACCAAAGCTTTTACAATCCATCTAGGCCCGACAATTCAACAACTATCGATCAACGATCAACCGAACGGCCAGGCAAAAGATGAAGTGGTATTACGGATTGACAGCGCCAGGAGAGCCTTCCTTCAGCTAAGACGAACGTTGGGACCTCGCAGTGAAATCAGCTCAAGGACGAAAGTTCGTTTTTACCATGCCGCCATCCGGCCCGTACTTATCTATGGCTGAGAAACCTGGCTACTACGAGCTGAGGATACCAGAAGGCCGAAGGTTTTCGACCACTGGTGCATGCGGCAAATCCTCAAAGTCAAGTGGAGCGACAGGGTGTCTAACGAAAAGATAAGGAGACGATGCTCCGACATCGAAGCGCTCTCTGTCCTCCTCCAACGTCGACGACTGCTGTGGTTCGGCCATACCCTTCGGCGATCCAAGTCAGAGATAATCAAACAAACATTCTGCCCACTGTCTGCCCTGGTTGGCGTTGTCACCTTGGTGGGCAGCTCAAAACGTGGACCAGCACAATAATGACGTACAGTTTCTAGGCCTTCGGTCGGCCTATGGAGCCCGGCGATGGAAAAAGGACTGGATCAGGATATGTACGGAACTCGCCTCCGACCGCCGAGCGTGGTCAGTAATGGCCCGTGATATCCATGGAGCCGACTTATCCTCTCGCAGAAGATAGTCGCGTTAAAGTAAAAAGTAGTAAGTAAACGTGCACAATATTAGGGCCCCATTGAACACGTTAATGAAACGGTGATTGTCAACCATCCTCTGACGAATAAAAGCGGTTGTTCATATCCACTCCTATTTACCAATCATATTCGCCGCAGACGCCTCCGAATGCGGCGTCGGAGAAGTGCTCCTTCACATATTTCCAGGTAGGTCGTAGTATGTACTGTCCCACGCCTCTCACGCGCTCACAAACGAAGAAAGGAACTGCAGTCATGTAGAGAAGGAAGGCTTGGCTTTGATATTTGCAGTTCGCAAACTCTATAAATTTCTTTGGGATAAAAGTTTTACCTTGTGTACTATTTACAAACCACTATTAGCCGTCTTCGGTACAAAAAAGGCACTCCCTTTCATATCATCAACCGACTACAACGATGGGCAACTTAGTTATAAATAACTTTGTGAATAAGTATAGCCATACACAGTTTTGTGTATGCTGACAAACTATCCCTCCTAATACAACGAAATTCAGCTGGTCAACCTGGTGAAAACTTGGTCATATCCTCTGTTGAAATTCATTCTGAAGTTAAACATGTCTTTCGTGAGTCCGTAATAGGCCTGTCGCGTTCAGTATGGTACAAAGCGAAACTGAATTAGACCGAGAACATCAGAGAATAATTCATTTTCTGCAAACTGGTTAGCACCAAAATATCACCGACCACTACTCCATGCAGTTTTATCGCCGGAAGGATGCACTCACGATAGTAGATGGCTTTCTGATGTTGTCTGCACACATACTGATTCCTAGAACATTACAAGCTAGAGCGGCGAAGCAGTTGCATAGTGGTAATCTGGATATCACACGTTTGAAAACACCAGCGCGAAGTTGTGCATATTGTCCCAACATTGACAAGCAAATTGAAGAGTACGTTCAATGCTAAGGGGTCCATTAAAGTTCTGTTAAAATCTTGGTCATTGCCCTTAGGCTCATGAAAATGGGTTCATGTCAATTTGTGGATCCAATAAATCAACAGTACTTCATTGCAGTAGTTGGTCCTTACTCAAAATGACAGGAACTATTTCCTATGAAAAATATTTCTTCAAGCACCATTGTCACCTTAAGACGACTTTCGCTCAATTTGGGATCCCTGAAACACTAGTTACGGATAGCGGGTCCCAGTTCACCTTCATTGAGAACATTAACTTGTCAATCCATGGGAATTGAGCATTTGCGCACTCCCGTTTACCACTCTCAACCAAACGGTCAACCGGAACGTTTTGTGGACACACTGAAAAGGGATTTACATAAAGTTGCCAGAGGAAGGAAGCATACTAAAGATACTTGACAACTTTCTGATGACACACCGCTCAACTCCTAATGCCTCGGCCACAAACAATCTCACCAGCAGAGACTTTCCTGGGTTGAGACATGTGGATACACTAAGATGCCATATATCCCACGGTCATAGTAACCCTTCTACACAACAAAATGGAAAGACACTTCAACAGATATTACGGTGCAAGACCACGTAGTTTCGGATTAGGGGATCATATTTATGTTCCAGATTTTTGTCATCCCTCAAAGTGTTGGATACCGGGAGTAATTGTTAGCCGATTAGGGAATGTGATACATGGCCTAATGACGTGTCAACCACATCAGGAAACATTACAACACGACAGTAATATATGAAGAGAACAAGGTAGAACTTTTGGATACTTTTGCATTACCAGTGGCAGACAAGAAAACTGCATCACCCGAGCCACCAAGTTCTAACTATTTTAACGAGCGGAGAAACTCAATGCGCTCTCAGCCCTCCATCGATTCCTATAATGAGTCGTATGAGTCAGTCTCTATTTGCAGGGAAAGGTGAACGGACGGTCAGCTGACACTATGCGCATATAGACAGACGACAGACAGACAGACAGACAGACAGACAGACAGACAGACAGGCAGGCAGACAGACAGACAGAGACAGACAGAGACAGACAGAGACAGACAGACAGACAGACAGACAGACAGACAGACAGACAGACAGACAGACAGACAGACAGACAGACAGACAGACAGACAGACAGAGACAGGCACAGATAGACAGAAAGACAGACACAGGCACACACACACACACACACGACACAGTGTTCGTGCTGTCCGGTTATCCGCCAAGGCGTGGTGTTTACACGGCAGACAGACTGAACGCGGACACCACAGATGGATAAAATCTGCAAAAGGCAAACGCGCCTTCGTTACACATGACACTTCATATCATATTCGACCGCGAGGTGAGATATGACTGGAACGCAACAGAACTTATTTATTTCGACTCACTCTTCTTTATAAGATAAGAAAGGATTCAACAGTTTATCGGCACCATAATTCACATCCGAGAATCACAACGCTAAATGGTCTAAACTGACGCAGGGGAATTCAGGAACCGAAAAAAGAACAGTAGATGGCGAAACAGAATGGAGGATAGGAGTCAGTGCAAATAAACGGACAGTACAGTGAGTACATTAAAAGGCTTCTTGACTAATCTCCCTTTATCTCTACGTGGTTTGGCACCAGTAGCAAAGGTAACAAAACGGGATTTCAGTGGCCCATGGCACATTTTATTTCGTATGGTGAAGAAATAGTTGAAATATAGAAACGGAAACTGACCTTCCAATCTACCGGGCTGATTGGTCGGGTCTTCAGAATCTGTAGTGGTAGAGGTCAAGGCGCTGGGGTCTGTCGTTCCAGATCGTACATGCAAATCCGTAGTTTCCGACGAAGTTCCTGTGCCACCGGTGGATGGCAATTTCTCTGTGGAATCAGTAGGTACACTGCAACCGCTTTCGATGCCGAGATCGGGTGAGAAGATCCATGCATGATATTTGATCACAGTTTCCACCAACTATGAATCCGAATGTAGCAAAAAAGAGCAAGGAATGAAAACAGTGACGTTGTATTCCACCGGGTTATTCATTGGACAGTAAATAAATCCGCGAAAAACAGATCAGCAGGTTTAGATGGAGTATTTTATTCGGGACTGACATTATGCTTCGCCCCGCCGTGACCAATTTGTCAGATATATTGGATACATTCAATGCGGTCAATTATTAAACCATAAGCAACAAAGCACTAGGGGTATTTGAGTCTCTAGAAGAGAGTTAAATGTCAAAAAACTTCGCCATTTGGGAGGACTTTAAAGCAGGCTGGGGTGCGCAGAGATTTGAAGATAATTATCGGTGCTCAGTTCATGACAGAAAAAATGTACAAAACTCAAAACCACTGGACTGTGCCACATAGTATTTACGATGATAAGAGATCATGACCGAGGAGATAAAAAGTGTCGAAAAAGCAAGCGTATCTTTGAATGGAAGTCATTCTAAGTGATTCACTGGTCTAAAAAATATCATTATGTCAGAGAGAACTCACCATGATCTTATACTTGGAGTCGCTCATCAACAACTCCGGACTATCCTCGCACGGTTGGACCAGATTGGGCGCGAACACGAGAGCTAGATTGTAGGCGGTCATTTTGTTCACCGCTTCCCGAGCACTGACCCTGGCTAAATGAGTGGCTAGATAGCGCAACGTAGCCCGATGCGCCCGATATTCCGGATGATCCGGATAGCATTCCATGATGCTCAACAAACGCTGAATGGATAGCAACCGTTTCTCTCGTTGTTGTTGGCGGCATGCACTAAGGAAATCCGTGTACATCACTAAGAGAGAAGTGGAGTAAGGCGAGAAAGATATTATGAACAGAAAGATGATATGAAGGGGTAAAATAATCAAGATGTGGACAGAGACTATTAAAAATTGTATTAGCGGATAAAATTCCTCATTATATACATTCTAGTGTCATTAGGTGCACACTTCCTTTATTTAGTATACGCAAAAAGGGCTATGGCTGAATGGAGAAGTGACCGATAGTTTTCTCGAATACTTTTAAAATGACAATAAGCTCATCAATGAATGGGTTTTTTATGCATTGTGAACGCCGCATTCAGTCAGCTGCAGCTGTTCAATTATATTACGACTCTACAGTAGTGCTTTTCGAAGTGGCTACTCTCATGCGAACTCAGAACCGGTATGAATAATATTGCTCGACCGAACTGGCTCACAATAGAATGCTGCACATCAGCAAAGTTTGATAATAGTGCCTACTAGTCTCTGACTTAAAACGCAGCCTATATCCGCATATGAACAGAAAGACTTCATGGACTCAGTACACAACTGCCAATGACTTGGAGAGTTGGATTACTTAATTCAAATAGCAGGAAATTCGTTTTGCATCGTCGACAAGTGTTTGAATGTAGTTCACTCGGGCTAATCAATACACCTAAATACTTCGGTTTTTCCGTTTATTTTTTCCGAATTATGTTTATGATGACTTCATCTACTGTTCCTTTTTGTCTTAAGTTGGCGCATAAAAAAGCTAAAGTTTGGTTACAGTAATCGACTCGGACCAAACCTGCTCTTGGGTCGCACTTTTATGGTCACCACTAGTTTCTCGAAAGTTTTCCTGGTTGGTGTTTACAATCAGGGCTTCGGGTTTCGTCGATTAGTGGGAAATTCAGGATTCGTCAAAATAATGAATAGATAAGGAAGAAGTGTGTGCATGAGTGAGTCACTGCTCGCCTTTGGCAATTCGTATCTCATTTCAGCTTCAAACAACGGGAAAGCGGACATCTCGGATTCTAATCAAGCCTAAAAAACCAACATGACCGGGTTCACTGATTTTCACGTCAATATGACCATCACTTTCAGCAATACATATACCAAACAGAGGAGATGAAAAACAGAAGCGTTTATGATGACTAGCAAATCGATATATATATATATATATATATATATATATATATATATATATATATATATCACCGGCTTGAAATGAAGCTTGATGCCAACGAAACCATGGTAACTGAAACAGTAAAATAATGGAAAGAATAAGGTACAACAGTTAACGAATAAAGGAAGTACAAATGTTTTTTGCTTTCATCGTACACATTTTGGTGATTTCATTGTCGTTTCTTTGTTGTTTCTTTGTTTACAGGGACCGTAATTGCAACCGGTAGATCGTGCAGCATTCACGCCACTGACTTCTATTCTCAGCCATGTCCATCAACGTCTCTAACTAACAACAATCCTGGACCCTTGGGCCCCAACCAAAGAGGCGGGAAACACCAACCGAAGCCATTGTTGATGCTAGCTTCTTCGTATTCCTACGACAAGTCAAGGCCTGATCACCGCGATGAATCTTCCAGCCTTGCTCAACGGGTGTAAAAATAGCATAGGAAGGAAAACGGTGGGCGGACATTCGTAAAACATGTCTTAGCCACCGGAGACGGTGTAAAACGATCAATTCAGTCAGGGGACGACTATCCGCAAGTAACACACAACGGTACATGTCGTCATTACCTACACGATGCTCCCACGATACGCGAGCAACAGTTCAGAGATATTGGTGGTCAAACAAGGAAAGTCGCCCAAAATCCTGAACGTAATCGTAAAGCAAAACACTACAAATCGCAGCGTTATACACACGTCCTTTAAGGGTGAACCGGATGTTACGGCGGCGCAACCGGGGTGGCAGGTACGCCAAAGCTACTCTAGCTCTTGCTATTCGTGAACTGATATCTCCAACACCATTTCCACAGTCCGGTCCTGGCTTCACAGATGTCTAGGAACATCATACTCGTTGGTTCCTGAAAAAGCATAACGATGCTCTTTCAGCTGTCTGGGGGGGGGGGGGGGTGAAAATTTGATTGATGTATCCGCGAACGGCGCGAATCCTAGCCTGCTCTTCACATGTTTGGCGCAACCTGCGAAGTATGACGTTCACTAGCAACTTCGACGATATGGGGATAAGGATGTTGCCCCTATAGTTAGCGCAGTGACTACGCGAGCCTCTTTTGAAGATGAGCACAATAATCAAACCTCGTCACGAGGGGGTGGCCTGCTCTAAATTCCAGACCTTTGAGAACAATACATGGATTTCTCAAAAAGGCTGCACCCCATTATTTTTGAACGGGGTTAGGAGTAGGCCATCGGGGGAAACTGAAGACAGCATCAGTATTACCACTGTAATCATTAAAACAAGCATGAAGCGCATATCCACATACAATGCGGCACCACTACGAAACAAAAACAAGCGTGGCCATGACGTACTACAATTACATTTCACTGCACATTTTTGACTTATTCAATCTTTGTCCCAATGGTCTCGCGTATTTAGGAATCGCGTGAGTACAACAATTATCACAGTAATGAATTCGCTGCCGAATCGTATCCTTCAGTGTGTTTAAACGACAAGTCTGAACCTCTGAACCACATCCGGCAAGTCGGGATGCACTAAATGAGGTGCCAGTTGTCGAATACGAAATTCCACCGCATGTCTCTAACGTGGAGACAGTCGGATGTAAAAATCGCGGCACATTAGCATTATTTGAAGCATATAAATCACATTTGGTGTGTTTCAGACAGAATGCGCAGAGGTTATCATCTTTGGAAAATATTTGTACTGTGTAGTCGACTGACTGGCTTAATGTACTGACAAACGTTTGTGAAACTGAAGTCGTCGATCACTGAAATACTACTAATCCTGCAGGAACTTCCACTCACAACGTTTTTCAGTAAGCTTTACGATAATAACTATCTAATAAGAATGAATCTGCTAATTTGCTGTGAGAACAAGTATGTGGCAATGGGGAATAACCAGTCAAAGGACAAATCTTACAGACTGCGAATCTGCTAAGTCAAACATCTTAACAATAACGAATACTAATATTTTGCTTTATCTGCTTATTATACGAAAAATGTCCAATATTTATGGAAGGGAGCCACGGGCAGTTAAAAGCTGTCAAATGGGGAATGTAAGCGATGTCCACTGGTGAGTACTTTCATGTCTTTATTTCACGATATGCACTGATTCGGATCTAGATCTATGAGAACTATATTGACTAGCCTTTTGGGAACAGGGAATCCGGAAGATTGCGTAGGAATGTTTTGAGGACACCGCAGATAGCGTGTATATCATTCCATTTATCCGAAGTCACATCAATTTCGTTCAAATTCTGAAAACATGGAGAAAAAGATAAGGTGAACGGAATAAAAAATCCTTCCCTTTACAAATAATTAACCATAGGTGGAAATATTACAAATCAGAATGATATCCTTGAGAGATATGCTTTCAACAAGATTGAAGTCGAAGTGACAATTCATTGGACTGTAATAGTTAGCGTTTATTGCGTCCCAGTTCGACTTGATCAGTTTTATGTAGCGTGCGTGAGTTCTAGTGTCAAAAGATGAACAAAATTCGACTACCCGAGGATCTCGATCATGAATATTTGATTCTGTTACCCTTGGGATGAAATAATCGTGATAGTAACACCGATCTACTAGTTCGAGGGTCTGAAATGATGTCGAAAACAAATAGTCGTAGTAGTAGGGGATTTATGTAGACAAGCAACATCTATCCAGATATGTTGAATCACATTGCGCACCAAATAACGCCAAAATCTCTTGCAACCCCGGATCATAGGAGAAAAACCAGTGCAGTCCCGCAGATAACTTGGATATCAGAAGCCCAATTTAGCTCACAACTTCAAACTGTTGATATTATTTAGGTGCCCAGACTAGTAATGGATTCGATTTGCGTGTACCATACTTCGGTTCAAATCAGATTTCGAAGTTGTCAAAAAGTTATATTTTCGAGAGCGCCATGCAATTTACTTTTTAAATTCACATAAACAAAGTACAGATTATCGAACAATAATGTCGTGTTTCAACTACTGATCAGACATTATAGGGCAGGGATTCAAAGGATCGATATGTAAGCTATGAAAAAAATACACTTCAGTTGGTCAAGTGTATGCACCAGTTCTGAAAAGATAGAATCGAATAATCAAAAGTACTACGTGCACATACCTTGCGTAGTTCGGTCGATATGAAGTCGTGCGCAACTTTGCTCCCGGACAGGCGATAAAGACCGACACAATTGAGACCATAACGTTCGACTAAAGTCACACAGAATTCCACAATAAAAGGAACAAACTGAAAGGTAAAAATAAAAGACAGTTTAATGGGAAAACAGCATCAGCTGAGTTGATGAGGTCTGACTTTTGAAACCCTACCAGAAATGACCATCAACTTGCCAACTTTGTTTAGATAAATGATGACGCCGTGCACTGATGACGAATTCTAGCGAAATGCAAAGTACCTGGTCTGATGCAGTTTCGAGCAACTATCACCCTCAAGTGGGAATAATAGATCCCACTGATGTCCTCTGAACCCTATGGATGTCTTGATTGTGCTAATGCCCAAATAGTCCGATATTTCATAAAGGAAGACGAAATCAATTATTACCTGTCAAAAGAGGAATTTGACAGGCAAATAGCGACCACGGCATCCCAAGCAGTTTCCAACCCTCTCATTACTTTGCGCTTCTTTGAGGGAAATCCCATTTTGAAGCTCATCTTTGTTAGCTACATTTATCGATGGGCAACGCTGTCATCCCATGATCCAGTAGGAAATTTTGAGCAATATAACTCCCATTCGGTTTTCATTTTGGGATCACAGACCAACAATGTCAATCCTCCTTAACATGATGGCCCGTCGGGGGCGATGGCCGGAAGGCTCACAATTGAGTCGTAAGTACATCGGTCTGAACTCAAAGATGCTGTGTAATCTCAGTACAACGCAAACAACCAATCATCTCGCGCATCTCTGCTATGGTTTCGTTTACTGCCTTTCAGCATCGTCGAATCAAAGACAAACAGAACAGAACCATAAAAGAGAGCAGAAAGCAAGATAAGAAGCGGAAATCACACCGACAAAGACAGAGATCGAATGCGAATAGGCTACTGACAGTGACACATAGCCATATCACCTAATGTCTCCAACCATCTGGTAGGCGAGTAGCGTGAAACCCAAACTGGAAGCCTAACTTGCCCTACTTGGTGAACTCTACTGCTCAAGGTTTTCATACATTTTGCCTTGCCATGGGCTGGCCACAGAGATCTACCTTTCAACCAATGCTTGTCTCGGATAACAGCGTACGCTGAGGAAGCCTATCGGTGGGTATGAGTACCACTCGTCCCAACCAAGTTATCTGTTGCAATTCACTGTTTCCTCCACAGACTGATCTCTGGTTCCAAACACCTTACTTCTTACCTCAGAATTGATGATACGCTATTCCCACCATATTCGGGCAGTGCTACAGAGACATCGATGCACAAACACCGGCAGTCTTCGCCTATCTTTTATCCTTAACACCCATGTTTCTGAGCCATATAAAAAACAGACCCAACTACCGCAGTGCACACTCGACACTTGACAGACAACCAGATATCACGCCGGCGCCACGAATGATTGAGGTTGGCAAAAGCCAAATGCATCTTCTATATACGCGACGATATTTCATCCGATCTCTGTCTACCTAGTGAAGTGTAACTGCCAAGGTAACAAAACTTATCTAATTCAGATAGAGCTTCCCTGCCAACACACGGTTTGATGTAGAGTCAATCCAGCCCAGCAGCGGCACCACCTTACACATTGAAGCTGCAGAATGCATCCCAAACATGGCTACACTGTTTTTTAGGCTATCTAGAAAAACTCGCAACTTACCTGGAACTTCACTCAGAAGAACAATGTCATCCACGTATTCCAAATCAAACAGTTTACTGCCTGAGCACAGATCAATGCTGCTATTCTCATACGAGGATAAGGCTATCCAAAGAATTAATTCAATAATTAGCTCACTTACATCACACTCCCGTGAACCGGTACTTCCAATCAAATGATAAAGATTGCCACTACTGCCAATAGACACAGTCTGTTCCATTTCCCTACATTTCGCAATCCACCACTGCTCACGGTCATTTCACAAACTCCGGTAGTTGGCGCTTCAGGGATTTGCGCACTTCGTCGAGTGTAGCAGCCGGAGGGACGGATCTGCGAGCATCCAACAGAGCAACTGACATTGGAAGTGACATACAAGGCTTCCTTGAGCTGCAGTCAGCGTTCATCTGGGTCCCGGACATCTAGCTGTAGACAGCTTTGTCTGAAAACCATATCGGCGGTTATCGTCCAGAAATAACTGCGCAAGATAGGTGCCCTTGTTGTGGGGGTGCGACCACGGACGAGACGTAAACAAAAGTCAGCACGTACCAAGGCGTGATCTGAGTCCACAGATGTAAACCAAAATGAGTGACAATCTTCGATTGATCCACGCCGCCGGTGACTAGTGATAACATAGTCAATCTGAGTCAAACGTTCAGAAGATGTAGGAGGACGCCATGTCAGTCCATTCCGCTTCTAATGATAGAAGTTCGTACTCGCCAGAAATAACCTGTGGTCAGAACACAGCTGAATGAGATGAGCGCCGTTATCAGTGCGATCGGCCGGGATAGGAAACCGACCTCCAATGTGCCTTTCGGAGTCCCACAAACGGCCAACTCGCGTGTCGAAATCAACAGCAATGACCACCACGTCCGTTGAATGTACACGTCGAAGCAGTTGAGACAAATCGTGGTAGAATTCGTCCTTGGTCTCAAAAGAACTGCTGTCAGCGGGCGCACACACAAACACGACGAACAGGCATCGACGCTTCAGTCCATCGCTGTTGACACACACAGAACCGTCCAACCGAACTGCACACAATCGACTGCTGATTGGAATCCAGTCTAGCAATGCATGCTCAGCTCTCACACTCAAAGCAATTCTAACCCCGGCCTAACCACGAGCGCTATATATCGAGTCACTCGACACGTGAAGAGTGAAGCGACAGACTAAGGCTGTATCTGGAGTGTGAAGCGTGATGACAGAAGTGGGGTCTTGTATGCGTGTTTCAGAGACAAAGCATGCATCCATTTTAAAAGTTTCACGAGTTCTAGCGAAGGCAGCCTGTTGCCCTATCTGACAGCGTGGGCGTTGAACGCAACTAAATGAAGCGAACATGTAGGCTTCAGAAGTGTGTTTGATATATGTCCGACTCCTGAACTATTGTTTTCTTCAGAGCCGCAATTACCCGTCGCGTTTTGTAGGGATCCTTACTTAAAAGAGGGGAAATTGGTAAGGCCCTTTACAGAAAGGATGCTAAAGGTTTCTGGGCAAATAATACTTCGCGGCTGCCCACATCACAAAAAGCGCTTCTCTTTAGGAACCCTAACCGGAGCCAGTCACTCAAAAGCCTGACCCACAAGGCAGTGGGGCGTTAACCCAGCAAAGAAACGTGACCGAAAAACCCGTGAAAAAACTTCTGGTCTGTCACGAGAGATCCGATTGTTGCACGTACTTTGTTTTGTCTTCACTAGTGTTTTTCTATCGGTCAACTTTTCGGAATGAGTCCTTAGTCCCATGCACCTAGTGGACCAAGTGGAACGTGGACGGGGCAGCATCCTTTGGGATGGGGGCTGCCCAGCTTGGCTGGGCTATAGCTGCCAGATGAAGTGCGATGACTTCTCCCACCGTCGAGAGAAACCCCAAGTACTGCACTTCTACATCTACCTGGTGGAGGTTTATAGACTGGTAAACTGCTTCTTTCCGTGCTTATTCGATGGACTTTTCTCTCCAGAGGCAAAGTGGTTAGAACCAGATGTGGTCCAGAAGCTGGTTCAGAGACTGGACTTCGTCTGACCTCTACCCATTGACTTGTCAGGCACGACTGTTTCTTCGACTTGAGGAATCCATCCTGCATAGCTGTTTGGGTCACGGAAGCACGCAAAACATCCCGTCACGCCATGGTGCAATCTCGTTGTGATGGCCATGCAGTGTGTTTGCGGAGAAGACTACGTCAGTGGATGATATCCGTCCTCTAGTTCTTATCTGCGCAGACATGCTCCTTTTGAAGCATAAAAATACATACGTTTTCCTTGCTTTGGCAGTTGCTCCATTCACTGGGTAGATGAGGTTTCCGGGCATCATCTAAGTTTGGTCGCATGCATACGTAACCATACAATTCGTCTTCACAATGTTGAAGGGACGGTAACTTTAATTTCTGGGCTCCCAAACAGTTCGAATTGCTGCTCACATCGAAACCGAACCGCCCGTATATGACGTGTTGTAACACCAACGAGGAGCACGATCAAAAAAACGGTGATACAATTCTGCAAGTTCGGCTTATTTTTGTACTGCAAAGTCACATTTTGCCACGAAACCAATTAGCACGAATTTATCGTCCTCGCCCTTGCTCCACACATTTATCTCAGCACACGCAACAGCTATCACGAAAAAGGTCAATTTGAAGAAATCAGTGGGGAAGAAGGAGAGAGGAAACATGGAACAATGTCAAAATGTAAAAATGTAAAAAAAAAAAAACAAGGACGGCACCAGACAGTCAACTAATCCACACTTTCACATTTCAAATTTCGATTATCAGTAGACGAGAGAGAGAGGACAATTGAAGCGACAATAATTTCTCCGATACGCTCGCAAACTGAGCCAATCGATGAACTGAAGAATGTGGGGAAGAGGATGGATCAGTGAAGCGGCCATCCGTAATTCTCGACCGAAGTGGCCCTTGAGAATCGGTGCACGTTCGGCCAGAGTTACACGGAATTGTCTGGTCCACATGAGCAAGCAGGATACAACAAGATTAACTTAAAAACTAAACCATATCATGCCCGCAGAAACGAAGCGTTGGGTGAGAAGATACTTGTCCGAAACCCTCGATTACTGTGTGTGCGCGCGCATGCACGCATTTGACGGCGGTGACAACACAGACACAATAGCATTTCAGAAACTCTCTTCAAAATGACATTTATGTTGCTCGCAAAATAGAGTACAAACGTCAATCACAGTTAGTCGTGAGGGTTCCATGTCGGCCTACGTACTTTTGCACACAGATATACCGATTGAAGGACAGACAAATGCACACACGAAAATCAGCTTAACCGAGTTTCCTGCTCGAGCTGGGAGCGTTTACGTTCGGGAATGACTTCGGTTGGCAAAGTGTCACTGGTGGTGACGTTATAATACTGTCCACAAAAACAAACTCACACCGAACTACGTAACCCCAATCACATCCAACTGTACATGAGATGATTCACCGCTCAAATCACCATTGGAAATCGTGGAAGCCCTGGCTTGTTTGGAATAACCAGCCATACATATCGAGAAGTCTCAATTGGGTCTCGGGCCCAGAGTGCATGACAGTGAGTCAAGTACACATCACCATCAGACTGCCCCCTGGCTCTTACGGGTCTGTTTCACGTCAACACCACATGATACAGAGCCTTTCCGTCAACGGCTCTGAATGATAACCTGTCATGCGCACACAAACAGTGAGCGAGTCATATGATAAACATCTCCAAAGGGGTGAGACAGAGGTATTCCACAATGATGATTCCTGGCAAGTGAAACAAGCACATGCACAGTTTTTCTACGGGTTTTCAATGATTGGATCATTCATGGCGCATGAGGAACTATTACACATAAAATAATTACTCAAGTGGAACGGAAAATCAGGTTTCATAGATGTGATATAACTCTCCGCCTAAGACGCGATAGCAAACTGATTGAGTAAACTGACTGACTTATTGTACAGTTCTCCATTGCAAGTGTTACGATCCGGTTGCCGGTAATTCCCTACGACGTTTGAGGCTATGGAGTATGTCTGTGTCACTGCGCTGATGCGCAGGCAGACAAAAAAAAATAGTAAGTGGACCAGTGACAGTTGCCGTCCCAAAACAACCTGCAAGATACGTTCCATCATGTGGACTGTGTTCGCCACCTAAATCTAACCAGTACGCGATTTTCCCTGCTAGAAATTGTCCGACTGTCAACCAATATTCCGACCAATGAAATAACAACTACCTGCGTCACTTCGTTTTGGACAATGATATTGGAACGGATCTATTGTCGGAAGCGCTGAAGCACTTGCTGTGCGTACGCACAAAACGCTGATTTCAAATTTGGTAGGGATGTTTATCATGGAAAAGATGAGTTGCGATGAGGTCACCCTAGTGGCTAATACCACACGCACTGAGAACTGCGAGTACGTGAATTGTTAGTTTTATTGACCGTGCATCGTTTATTGATAAAACAATACCTAACACCATTTGGAGGCAATGCACGATTCGACTGTATCGGAACAGTTCCATTATCTGGTTCTAAATGTTTGATCGATTGGGCTCTGTTCTTGTTCATGAAGCTATAGTACACCATGCCGCGTATAGAGATGTTTGAGTTACCACAGCGAGATGCCGCGAAACTATCCCAGATGTTGAGATTGTTCTTTATCGCCTCGAATGCGTCTCTGGTCAAAAACATCGGGGATCTATTCGGTCCATCACATTTGCTTCGTTCGATCCTGGAGTGTGCCCCACTAAAAATGGGATTGTCTGGAGACAAAATCTCTTGAGCTACTGGATCCAAGTTTCAGATGAGGTGTTAAGCAGTGCATCTGGAGACCGTTCTTCACTATCTCTCGCGATGTAAACAATAACAGTGCTTTGTACCAGACCATTCTCACTCACAATTATCTGCTTGCAGTACATGCGCGAATGATTGCAACGTGCCACTAGTTACTAGAAGACCCTTACCAAACTGAGCAGCAAATTTCAGCCTAAAAGGAACTATCAGTAGTGCACGGTGATCACTGAACCCCTCTGAGAAACACACAAAATCGGAGTGGCAGACTATTAACATCAGAGACAGCTTCGAAAACTCATCTCAAGTCAAAACTTCAGGTAATAGGGACCAAAGCGACGGTGGTAGAATGGTGCCATTCAGTCTAGATTACGAGATTCCAACCGCGCCGCCAACGACCAACTTTCACGGCGAGTAGCGCTCAGCTGTCGAATGACTCGTTAGAACGCTTGACATACTGGTATTGAATGCGATTCGTCAACACAACCTCCGGGTCATCTTTCTCGATTCTTCACAGATCCCTGTAGTTATTGGGTATATTTCTTAACCAGACTCAAGCGTAAGCATGAAATAAGCAGTCGGCTACCATCACAAAGTAATCGAATCCCTTTTCCGATGTGCTTGGTATAACAGGACACTCATCGGACAAACTACGGAATTTTCTAACCTTATGTACTGAGTAGCAGATCAAATTAGTTTCACAATTCTTAGCGCTTCTGTCCACTAGAAATACACTAATGAAACAGACGACGTCAGTGATTTGCAGAACTGACGTAGCATAAAGCATACTATACTTATATGATCAGCTATACTTCCAATAGTTTTGCAGGCAGCCACCACCGGTGATGTTGCCTAACAAACCAAATGAACCAGTTACGTAGCTGCTTGGTTTGCCATTTGTGAAGACGGACACGTCAAAACTTCAAACGATTACCTGGAAACAACTTACCTGTTGCAATTAATTGAAAACGCAAATGAGGCGCAAACAACATAGCATACCAACGAAATCATGCAAGATTCACCGTAAGACCGAAAACGTGTGCACACAGTTGTGGCATCAAAAGGATACGCAAAGCAGCGCAAAAAGATCCCACGCTTATTTCCATTGGTTGGTTTTTAAAGACGTCTGCGTAGAGGTTATTTACGCCCGAAAAACTTCGTTTGACCTATGACATAATCCCTAGAGTAAGAATTTTGACCGATCTCATATACGCAAGCCAACATGAGGAGGATGTGTAACACCAAACAGATTTTTCGGCTATAAATCACAGGCGAATGATAACTAGTATAACTCAGTTGAGTTCAGACTGAAAAACGCTTGACTCGCCTTACTGACCTATATAAAAATGTAAACATGAAAGTAAAAGTGTGGACACATTTCAGATTGCGATGTTTGGCAAAGTCACACGTAGTCCGGGACTGAAAAACCGTCGAGGTATTGTGTTAATGGAAGCCAATGTGTTAGGAATCATCAGCAATGCATACCTAATGAACCTCAGCTAAGCTCGAAAATCAACATGCAGCATTTTGAATACTACGCATTTTCGGACTGGTCCTCGAGGGTCCCGTTTACATGAAAATCACACGGCATGATACAGCGCCCATTCATCATCATCATTTCAACGTGAAAGCCGTCATGGATCAGGTGACATTGAACTTTATGAACCCAAAACTAAGGGACTAGTAATCATTCTTTCCAAGTGTGAACTAGTGTGATCTACGCGCCTTCCAGATACATACCCACAAAGTAGAACACCTATCTTAGTTAACAATGATCGCAAAAATAGCATATCACGTCATACAACCTTCCATCTTTGCTACACAGTGCTCTTCACCGACACAAACAAGATGGTGAATGGATTATTTCTGTGGAATAGAGAAACAGTATGCATGGAGACTCCTGTAAAAGTGTCATCGATTCTAACACCAATAATGGAAACTTACCGGAGATAGAGTGCTTCGTGGGCACTTATGCAAAGCCAACGGACCGGTATGCGGCACAGGTAATGGGATAAACGGATGCGGCGTGAGTGGAACAGACGCACAGGTAGTGGTGGCGACGGCAGGAAATTCCGCACTGGAGACCGAGGTCAAGACCATCGCCGGACCGACCGAGGACACCGAGGTGGTCAATGTAGCTGTGACTAATTCCGATGAACTGGTCAGCTTCGCGTAGGATTGTTTGCTACTCTCCTCAGATCCGGCGGGACCCAGAGGTTCACAAGAGTCTGAGCTATGAAAATCGCTCAGGGGCACATCCAAATTGTTGGCTGTGTACGGAGAAGAGATGGACAGGGTAAACGTTACAGATAAAATAGATGATGAAAACTCCGCGAAACCTGAGTGTACAGGACACTAATGGATCTAACCCATAATCACAATAAATCGAAAAACACCGAGCATTCGTAGAAGGACAATTTTCACCCAGTTGCTATAACGTGGATAACATCATGTTGTTCTACTAATGGCCACTGATGGATGATTGGCCATGTTTTGGCTGGAAAATAGTGCCTCTTTTATAGTAAATGTGTGACGTCCGTACTGAAACTCCAGATACATGTCCTGTCCTTTCTCTCAGCTGAAATAACTTATTCAGTTCCTATGCATCTGAATTTGCAATTGGGGAAATAAAATACGTTTGAGGGGCAGCATCCATGTGAAGGATATCTTGATTTGAACTGATAACTTTCATTTTTGGTAAGCCTGCCAAAAATCACATGCATACCGTTGAAACACAGAACAAGACCGTAGCAAACAACTTTGTTTTCGGAAACTTCATCGCCTGGATATTTTAGTTACACTTTGAGGATAAAAATACTTATCTAAGAATACAAATAATATTATCATATTTCACACTCGCCTGATTTCAGACTGTGTATCAAACAAAACGGTACAAAGTGGGAAGAAGAGGTACACAACATAATCGATGATCAAGAAAAATGGAGAGAGTAAAGCGGATTGGTGTTAAATCTATTCATGAACTAGAGCTCATTAGACTTACTCAGAATAAGAAGACATCGAGAACATTTTGTTCAGAATAACATACCAGAGACCGAATAGGCCCCGGTAACGAGTGAAATAAAAATAGCTATACGTACAGCTAACCTCCATAGGGGACTCCATATGGGGACTTATCACTAGATATACGGAAAAAGCTATCGACTGAACGTATCTCATGACATCTCTGCTTGCATACTTCACAAGAAGAACGATGATCTCTTTGCGCCTGTCTTTTCCGGGATCAACTGTGATTGCAAATTCCTTGGCTTGTTCGTTTGGTAAGTTTCAACGGTCGAATTGAAAGGAAGCTTACCCAAAAAACTAGGAGCATGAATGATGGGCAGTAAGGTAAAGCGAGTATCAATTTTTGCACCATATATGACTAACTCAGTCCGAATGTTTGATCCGTTTGAATTTTGTCTTCGCTGCACCACCTATGCATGTTTGCTTCGTATGCAAATCAATCTGTAGCCAACTGATTATACTAACACGCACATACGCACGTACGATCTTTTCGTGTTCATGTCTGAACGTTCAACTTTCTGATAAACACGTTCAGAGTCAAACCACGGTGATCTCTTCATCACAAATTCGATGAACCCGCGTCTCTACTTCCGGGACTCGTGCTTTGTGCTCCTCGTTCACATGTCATACCACTGTATTCTGTGCACCACACTAATTTGACATAGATTCTTAGGTTGCCGGGACCGAACCCAACGCCCTCGAAGCTTCAGTCACAGTGAAACTCCTTCCACTTTGTGTTTCACATCTCCGCCTGTGGTTCGCACTAGTGGACGCGTGCTTCCGCGTCAATCGCGCACGTTCTCAGTCGATGATGTATTCGCACACTGTACAAGGCCTCCTTGTCGAAGTAGCTGGGGAACTGTGTAGTCTCATTTATAAATCCCAACATAGCACGTCAATCGACAACGTTCAGTATCCCGTTCCCAAACACGTTGCAAACGTTCTGCAACTACATTTCGGCAATCGTATTATTGGTACTAACCATGTTTTGGGGAAGAAGCTTTTTGGTGCCAGTCACCATGCGTTTTCAAAGCAACTGCCCCGGGAAACGCGACAGCCAGTCAGTAATTGCGACTACTGCCACTGGCTTCCAACCTAATCACCTTTTTACATTTTTGATTACCCTACTGGGATGCGGTTTCTGATTAACATGGGTGCCCAGATCAGTGTTATTCATATTCATAAGGCGAACACAATTTGCGTCCTACCACTATCACTTTGGAAGCAGCCAACTGCTCTTGATTCTCGAGGCTGATTTTCTTTCTTTTTCTTTTGAGGTTGATATGAAACACCGCATTTTGTAGGACAGTAGTATGCCTATTATAACGCACCGGTATTTCCATCAATTTTCTTAGAATTTGTCCAATGACAGTGCACCTACCATTTGCCCCAATTTGGAAGATCTTCTCACCAAAGATCTTCATCACAAGCACCAAATAATGTCCAACATCACAATGCCACCAAAAGTCCTCCGACAACGGCGCTTCCCCACCGTCTGCTATCCGATAAACCATGTGGCCAAAGCAGAATGTGAATGCATGCTAAGTCTCAGGATAACCCTTCCATCAAGAAGCTCATGGGCCTCCCCACTCCATGTGGTTCCAAAAAGCAATGGTGGCTTTCGCCCGCGTCCTTACCAACGCAAAGGTACTCGACCGTTACTGGATTCCACATTTTCACGAATTCCCTAACTGTTTGTGGCAAACGAATTTTGGCTGCACAAATCCTTGTGACAAGATGATTGCCAAAAATTAACTCATCAGAAAAATCAATCAGTTTATGACCACAGTGTGAAACACGCAAATCTCAGTCGTCGTAATGACTCGGTAGTTTATAAAATCTTTTGTATCATTCAGATTGCTTGACCTAGAATGTGTCAAACAAAAGTCTCCTGCTGACCAATCAGGAGACGCCACTGGTGTGATAAAACAAAGACATCCGAGATATCCTTCTTGTTTGAAAAGCTTTTTCTACTTGAATACTGCTTGATAACTTCGACCACTCCATGTACTGGACGGCGTTCCCTTATCCGGCCGATACTTGTAAAGTACTATCAGCTCCATACTTTCCAGTGTCCTCCTTGGCACATTCGATGTCTATCTTCGTCATCATCCGGTTCTTCTGATTTTCTCAAATGGACCATTTTCCTTTTTACCTGACAACCTTCAGAGCGTGCCAGGTACGGTTTATTTGCTGAGCACGATGGCACCTCTCTTTTCGTGCAACATTTTTCTGTCGGTTCTATCGGTTAAAATCCAGACTGTATCGTCTGGCTTCAGTGAATACAGTGGTTTTCTGTCCCATTCGTAAAATAATCCTTGCCATACGACTTTTTCATTTCAATTTAATTACTGACGACTTTAGGACGTCTGGATCCAGTAATTCAGCACAAACGAGTGGAGTTGTCTTCGTTTTTCGTCTTCCTAATAAGCATCTAGTAGGTCTTGTTCTCATAGTTGCAGAAGACATCTTTTGAAGCTCAAGTAGAGCGATAAACAGATGGCTGCCCTCGGCCCTGCACTTGGTAATTATCTTCGCGTTTTTCACCACGCTTTCTGCTTTGCATTGAAATGACTGTGGCAGGGACTGCAGATGTGATGGCCGAGATGTCACATCCCTGAGAACTATTGGAGTTCTGTGCTGCGAAACTGAGGACCACAACTGAAAGTGACTCGAACTAGGATCTCAAATCGTACAAAGTTAGCTCGTAGTTCGTTAAAAATCTCTTCAGTTGTTTCTGTTCCTAGGAAGTCAACTTCGAAGAAGTCGCTGTAGTACTCAACGGACGCCACCTAATTGTCCTTCCCGTGGTAACAAAATATTCAACGCCAAAATATTTTGAGGCCAGTCAGGTATCGGGCGCATCTCCACCAGTCCTCCAGTTTTCCGTTGATCAAAGTACCCGCACGATTCGTAAATTTTCACCATCGGCTCGCCTTATTCTTCCATACCTGACCAGTAGTAGATTTTCCCGGCCCGGTTGATACATCCATTGATTCGTGCATGGGAACGGTGTGACAAACGCAGAGCATCTTTTCGGAAGGCTTGGGGGACCACCAAACGCTCACCTTGAAAAACCAGTACGTCCTCTACTGTTAGCTCATCACGAAAGCTGAATTACGGCAATACTTCTGTCAGCAGGATTCTTTTATCTTCCAGCCAACCCTGGATGATAACTTCCTTCAGGGACCGTAGACATGGATCCGTCACCATGGCATTCCGGATTCCGTAACCGCCAACGCAATATCCACCGTTTAATTTCTACGCTTGTCTCCCGTATTCAAAGGCATGGCTCATGTGTCATCTACGATTATTTGTTTCTCTTGTTGGTAATGTAGTTCGTAGCTATACTTTTCGAGACGTGCTAGCATGAACTGCAGTTTTCTTGGTGCTTGAAGTAGCGGCTACTCCACCATCATGACCAATGGCTTAGGATCTTAGTATATGTACGTAAGTCGTCTGAAGATGTAACCGCTGAACTTCTCCAGAGCGTACACAACTTCCAGTAGTTCCTTCTCGATTTGCGCATATTTCTGTTTACAAATTGTTAACGTCCTGCTGCTATAAGCAAGCGGGTGTCCATTTTGCAGAACGGCTCCTAGACCATGTTGACTACTATCACACTGTATACATAGAGGTAAGGTGGTATCATAATATACTAGGGTCGAGACCTTCACGATAAGCTGCTTTATACGATTAAATACTTACTACTTTTCATCTACCTATATCAAAATTTCTCCCTTTTGTATCATTCGGTGATCGGTATCATCAATTACGCTAACTCTGTTAAGAAACTGTTCAGGTAGTTGATTATTCCATTAAAACCTGAGACACCTTTCGTATCGGTTGACGCGGGTACATCTACAATCGCGCTTAACTTTTCCGGATCATGTTGATACCTTCGCCTGACAGAATGTAGCCGTGAAAATTGACCGTTGTTTGGAAAAATGTCAACTTGTCCCGCTTCATCCTAATTTCATGTCGAATACAGTGCTGCAGGAAAAAATCGAACCTTCTGTTGTGTTCCCCGATATTTTTGCTGAAACTAAGAAAATGATCTGCTTCGCAAAGTACTCCCCTTAAGTCGTCAGCTGCTTGGAGAACCCTCTTCTGAAATATTTCGCTAGACACCCTCAGGCCGAACGGTTGTTGCCTCCAAGAGTAAAGGCCATTTAGTGTTCAAAGGTGGTCAAATAACTTGGAGCTTCGTCCAACTCTGAATACCAAAACGTTGAAACCAGATCAACTTTGATAATTTGGTTAGAATATCGTCCAAAACGGATAAAGGAAAGTATTCTCGGCTAAGTGCTTCGTTCAGTGGTTCGGGGACTATGGAAATGCGAATTTACCCGGTAGGCTTTTGTCATAATCACTATTTGACTCACCCAGTCTGTCGGTTCCTCAATTTTAACGAAGACGTCATTCGAGAAAAGGATGTACAACACGCGTTTTAATCATTCTCTAACTGTGTACGAAACACACCCTGTCAGTAGTGTCACAGGCTCCACGGGTTCATTTACGTGTGATGTCACTATTCCCGAAAGCTTTCCAAATTCCCAAAAACAGATAAATTTTTCCAACAAATATTTGACTTTCTAGGATTTATGAACAAATGAGTCATGGAACAACATCAAACCCAGTTTTTCTGCAGATTCACATCCGAGAATGGGAACATAGCACGGGCCAACCATCACAAAGTTTATGACTGAGGGATGCCCATCTTTGGGATTGACGACCTCCAGAATTACCACACTCTTTGGATAAAACTTGTCACCATCTCACCAGATGAATCTCGTCTGTGTTCGTAGAGAAGCAACACTAGGCAGAGCATTCATAAGTAGGATGATTACCGGCGTATCCATATCTAAATGAAATCTCACTTCTTCTCCCTTAACCAACACTTTGGCATGAACACCCTTTCGTTTTGCCCGCATCTGCAACCCATTCACTCGATCTGCATTGTGGGAATTTTGATCTCTATCCCCTGATTTCTTGGAGAAATATTTTGAAGCGAATTGATTGCGCTTCTCGCATTCATCATAAATTCACCCTCAGGCCCAACAGTTGTCTATTTTCGTGAAGTTTAGTCTGTCACAAAACCACCACTCCGTTCTTGGCCCCGTATGTCTCTCTGATGCTATTCTGTACAAACCACGGGATTCTGACGCATTCAACGTCTTCATGCATTCTTTCGGCTGCTTCCACACCTCATTGTTGGCGTGTTAACGCTGGAATTCCCAACAGCCTTTTACTCAGGATGGGGTTGTGTAACCCCATCACTATTAGGTCCCGCGACAGGCTCTCTTTCAGGCAGGAGCAAAAAATGCATGATCGTACCAGTGGTCTCAACGACAGCACGATAGAGCAAAGAGATTCTTCCGGCTTCCGTGTTCTTTGGTTGCAAACAAAACTCTCGCATGTTTCGTTGCACTCGCCAAGACAAAATTGTTCAAGTTTAAGCATAACCCCTTTGCAGTCTCCGTTGTCCTCATCGGAATAAAACGAAAAGCCACGAATGATGAGATGGAGTGATAAAATAGTGCAAACTGGATGACCTCTAATTCGTGCCCCATCACCGACGGAGCCCGAAAATCCTCATACCGTGTTCATCACAGCTTCCAGCTGTCAGTTAACCGGCCCATGTCTTCCATCATCAAGGACTCTGGTGGATGGACCTGTAGGTGATGATACGGTCGCGTCTCCTACAGTCGCATTTGCTCACCAGTCTCCGTAGCTACCATGTTAAAAGACAGTACTTCAGGGGAACTAGTCAGTTTACTGTTACAATGTGCAACACGGAAATCACAATCTTTGATAATTCCTCGGTGGTCTATTAGGTTCTTTGCACCAATCGGATTGCTCGACTTACACTGTACCAAATACTAGTCTTCCGTAAACCAAGCAGGATGCCCCATTGACGGGGTAAAATAAAAACATCTAGCTCTGATGTAACTGGAAGTGTGCAGATCTAAATGTTCTTTCTTTTCACGAATCCCAACAACACACTATGAATAAGCCCTCCCCTATCGACTGGGGGTGGTCAAACGGTCATTATGGTGGATAGTAGACCCTTCGGTCCAGGGTTCGAAAACTACTGCCGCTGCCGCCGCCGCCGCCGCCGCCGGTCACTTTCCACAATTAGCAGCCTCCTATTGGCCGCGACCCCCTTCCTGAAATATTGTACAAAAGAAAAGGTTACTGACAACCAGTATCATTCTCGAATATGCACACCCTACTCAACACATGTAACCGTGTTAGCCAGAAGATTATTGCTATATGGAGATGTTTTGCTGAATGGCATGAAGATGACTTGGCACAAGACGCACAGAGAGTGATTTTAGCGTTAATGCTGCATGATGAATCGTATTGTAAATAAAACAGTGATTGAGAATGTGCAAAATCTCTACTGATCACCTTTAGAAAAGTCAGCTTAGGCAACGAAGACCATGCACATTAAACTAAACCCAAATTAGAGTGAAATTAATGTAATGGGAGATAAATCGAAGGTAATTTGATCTTATGGTTTATTGTGATCATTCAGTGTAAAAACCAGTGGAGAGAATATCTTCACAGTTGATATGAATCACGTCGGCAAATCCGTAAGAAATATACGAATGGTCACTGAATTGATAACTCACTGTCCGCACAGAGCCGTTCCTCTGCCGACCCCGTGCTTTCAAACGGCAAATACGTGAGATAAGGACTCTGGAGAGCCGGCGAGGGTGAAACAGAGGTTGCCAGTAGCAAGGCGGGTGAGCTCTGAGCAACTGGACTGTGAACTGTTTGCAAATAACCAACCGCATCACATGGTATGGCGGTCGCAATGGACAGTCCAACGGCCGCCTCAAGTTGACTCGGACCCGACTCACTGTGCGGATCCACAACGGACGGAGGCGAGCCGGTACACGAAGTGGTACTCACATTGGATTTTGAGCTCATCAATGCACCATGAGAAGAGGCAAATCGACGGGCGCCAGCGCTTCGTGATGGAGAGCGAGCAGTGGGTGCGCTGGATGCGGTTGCAGCACGACGCATCCGTGTGAAGGCTTGATGAAAACGACCACGGCTTGAACGCGCCTGTGCTGCGGTCACCTTCTTTGTACTTTTGCCCGTACTGAATGGGACGGGAACTGAACTGTATGTATCTGCAACCAAGGTCATGAGGGAGTAGACAGTGAAATCCGAGCATCTCAGAGGTAGATAACGCAACGTATTCCTTCAGAACAGAAAGAGAAAGAATTACGAAACGCTCACTGTGGTAACGGAGAAGGAGACGATTAATAAAAACCTGTTTACGGATGTAAACAGATGAACAGATGGTTCCAATCGCAACTCTATGTATTTATTCCCCAATATCCCGGCATACTGAACAGAGGAGAGGTGCCACGTAGAACATAAATTATGAGTGTGAAAAGTGTGGAAAAGAAGTTTCTCAGAGTTTGCAACACAGGCTTCCACAACATAACCGTCACTGTCCACGACTGAGTCAATCCTAGTAACTTTTCCAACCAAGCGTGCGGTGAATCTTAGTGTCCAGTCAGACAGGCGTGAGGTAACCATGATGGAAAGCCTCGATGCTAGAGTTTTGATCGACCGGTGTCACGTCACAGCCTGACCTCCAAGCTGCTTTTTCCATGCGACCCCAGGCTCTGCAAGCTAAGCACGACGAGGGAGTTGATAGGGAAACCTGGGTAGTACATGCCCTAACCAACGAAACTAGTGGTAAGATACTAGCACGCCTGGTCCCGAAAATGCGTACACTAACTGTGGAGATGCTGGTGCGGCGTTGCCATCAAACTCGCAAAATACTCCTCAGACAACGGTGATGGAAAACACAGCCAACCGACATCGCGTCTCGGACAGATCAGGTCTCGCAGCCGTGCAGAAGCACACTGCGTACAGCAGCATTGTACACTCTACCTTTTACAGCAGGGAAACGTCTCGTCGTCCCTACAGGTGACGATGATTGCAGACTTTGGGCAATAACGACCCAAGTTCGACTCCCAACACCAGTGGTCACTTCCCATTTGGCAGCCTTTCATGCTGTACTTTATTGTGTAATAAATAAAAGAGAAAATCTGTTTATTTAAATATCTGATTGCATAGCACTTGAATGATCATGACACACTTATCAGGCGCTCCTTTTCTGAAGAGACAATCCCAGAATGCCGTCCTGTCAACGAAGTCAGAACGCCTGGACATCCAAGAGTACAGCTACCGATGGTCTGCGGTGTGTGGTGGAACTCAAGTATCTGACGGATAGTGAAAATGTGGTCGATGCACCTGCGACTGGGACCAAAACCTGACTGTCCTCCGGGGATTTATTGTTCTCGTTCCGCGGTCAATAAACGGAAGGTCATAGAGGCTAACAGTTTCGACGAGACTGATATCACACTTATCCTATAGTGATTGGAGCCCCTTTCTTGTAAATCGGGATGATAGATGCGCAGTTCCAGTTTGGCGGAACGATTTCGTGGACCCAGATCTCACGGAAAAGACTGATGAGCTCTTGGGTGAGGCACACCACCACCCTTGAACAGGATCGGAGATCATCAGGGTCAAATGTTTTATGGCGCTTAAAGAACTGGAGTGCATGGAAAGTCTCCTCCTCGGCGAGTGAAATAGTACAGACAGTCCATGGAGAACGAGCAGATTCAAAGAAACTATTAGGTGAAGAAACCGGCGCTGAAGATCAGTTAAACTGTTGCTCAAATTATCCATTCAGCGCTCAATAGAACGGCAAAACTGAAAGATTGGATGGCCGTTTTTCTCGTTCACACCAGGCTTCTTTTTTGCCCACGAATTGGATGAGTTAGCAAAGCTTCCGGACGTTTCCGGTGGTAGCAGCTCATTCCATCTCCGCCGCGCTTTCGAATCACTAGACCTCAAGGTCTTTACGTAGGCTTCTTGCTAGTTTTGTCCGTAGTTGAGTACGGGTTTTGTGATTTCTGCTACCAGCATGAGTATCCAGACGACTATCTTGCAATTCAAGCGATCACGGTGAGATTTATTGGGTAGCAATTTGGCGTACGGCTAATCCACAAGATGTGGTAGTCGCTATTTTCATAGGGACGTGGATGTATTACCAGTGGTTTAGCACGCCGATGCGTGTGGGGCTGCCTAGCTGCAAAGTTAGCCCACTCTGATATTTCTGTCAGACCGGAGTCCGGCATGGATGATCTACATCTATCCGTTGATAACAGACTTTCGCTTTGGTGGGAAAGCACACCACGTGGTCAGCGCACATGAGGACATAATCGGAACCTAAGCACGTGTTCCGCTTCGACCTACAAGACTTAACTGGGCCACGCCAGTGGTAACTTATGGTTATGTTATCTATCTGAGCCCAAGACTGGTTAGCAGAAGGCAGACGTCACGTCACTGTCCATCTATGGCTACGCCGATAGTTTGTACTTCAAAGAAATAAACGATGACCTGTACAAGGATGAAGTAGACGTCTACGGTTATCCGTACTTTGAGATCCAGCACAGTTTTGGCCGTCGAGCATCCGCTAGTCAGGATCTAGGCGATCAACATGAGCATTGAGGTCCCTAGCTAATACAACGATATCTCTGTGGGATGCCTTTCGTAGAAGGTCGCGTAGCAGCTCATACAATACATCGGCACACCACTCTATATCCATTATAGACGAAATGCGACACAGAACAAAACAATATATTTGTTCGAAACAGACCTCATTTACCCCAAAAATAACTATTTCTGAACATTTCAAATGTTAAATTTTTCCAATCAAGACTATCACAAGAAATGGTGTGAGTGATATGGTTCTAGAGAGCATTCTTTTGTTGTGTGATGATGGCGGTACTGATTTTTTGCCGAATGGGAAAGTGTCGAACCTTAAGCGTGGCAACACTATACCTCTTCTAATTGAAGATCCAGGTAAACTGCAAGCCGGACAGCTAGAACAACTGCGTAGAAATATTCGGTAAGCATTTTGCACCTTCGAAAAGCAGGATACTGCTGCAGGATTGGGCTGATCGAACACCAAACCTTTCGTTATCTACGGGCATTTCAAGCAAAATAGATAAGTTCTTTGCCGTTCTTACAGCTGAATTTTACCAGGAGATCGGATATCGTATGAAGTGTAATCACGTATACAGAAGGCTCGTTTGGTGTTTGCCAAACTCAGTCATCCATGGCATCAACATGACATCTGTTTATCTATCAAAGGTAGAGTGTACGCGGTACTAGTAATGCTAGTTCATTTATATGGTTTCAGAAAATGGCCACTGCGTGTGGAGGGTATACAAATATTGTTAATAATCGAACAGCGATGTCTTCGTAGCACTGCTCGAATCTGGTGAGAACACTGCATCAGCTAAGCTGAGGTTAGGCGCAGAGTATAAGACATGCGTACACAATCATTAGACGAAAAACTAAAGCTCACCAGGCTGAGAGGGTAGGGATATGTGTTGCGCATGTTCCCGGATAGAATTCCCCGGTGTGCAGTGTTCGCCGGGGCAGATGGTGGTTGTAAAATAAGTAAGAATGACCAGTCCACGACACGGAAAACAGGTTTGAGAAGCCTAACCAGTAGACTTTGCCATATAGGGCATGTTGGGCTTTCTGAGTCGGGCCCAAGAGATCCCTCCACTCAATGGTTAGATACATTGGAGGATATGGCTCAGTGTCACGATCAGTGTTGTTTTTGTATTCAAAGCTTTCCTTTATGACTTCATACAATGGGTAGCTCTCTTCTCAGTCTTGTTTTTATTCATTTCCCATTGAGGTTGTTACCGAGAGGTGGCGATCAAAGCCACCGCACTTAGAGCATGGCAACTGGTTGTTTGAACTGAAATGAATTGTCCTATGCCGTGGAAACTGAATACCATAACTGTAGTAAGCAGGGACCAGTGTTCCTAGCGGGTGGTTGCTCGCATTCCATTTGCAGAATACAAAAAACACAAACCACCATGAGCCCAAAGCGGAGAAAGTGTCTCACCGGGAACCCGCACCTACACTATTCGAACACCAATATAGCTGTCTTTCTATTAATGTAAGTGAAGGATCCTGTTGATGCACCTACTGAACTTCGGTTCATGGAGGTTGTCATTTTGTGCTTTTGTAGATTGGACGCGTGTAACCTGCTTCGGAGGAGCGTTTTTTCTTTCGTACTACACAATTACCTTAAAATAATAAATACAAAAACCAGTGTAAGTAGTAAACGAGGTGAACAATGGAGGGGCTATGCCGCGTACCTTTAGTGACATCCCCATTAACCGAGTCGATGTGCGGTTCTCCAGTTTGTTTTTGTTCGCTTTGGTGAAGCCATGAGGTCAGACTTGATCGCCCGACTAAAGGCATACCAACCGAAGCGGCCGCAGTACCGACAGCTCTGAGGAGAGGCACACCACCTGGAGGGCCGGCGAGGCCGAGACTGGACGATCGTCCGGTGGCGTGTTTGCCACGCATGACAGGACGTGTGACTGCCGCTGAATGCACGGATGACTGTCGGTTCGTGCCGGATTCAGAGAACAGAGCGAGTCGAAATGTGAAAATGCCATTGAACCAATGTTCAACGGAACACAGAAAGCGACACAGGTTACTCAACTATTTACTCACTGAAATCGGAAACAAGTCGATGGAAGTTATAAAAAGCTGCTAGACAGAACAACAGATGGCCACACTTCCATATTCTACTCTCTCGGATCACACGCCTTTCAGGGATATCGTGTGCTCAACCGCTGCTCCGAATGGCGATTCCCAATGGGCTTTTTGTGAACAGCTGGAGGCTGAAATTTATTCAGTTATGTGAGCAGTTATAGTATTGAGAATTGGTTTATAATTTTGCAACTATCTTAATGACATCCACACGAGGTGAAGAGCACAATCTTTGCAGTTTATTTCAATTCGAACAGTCGTTAGTCATGTAGTGAGAGCTGCGATTTTAGTTGCCATCTCTCAGCGGCAATATCAATCAGAAATATAAAAAGCCCGGTTTTATCGATCTACTCGTAAATTCAACTATTACACATTTAATTGTCGAGTGTTTTTTATTCATTGTGACAATACACAGGTTTTTATAAGCCCTGATCACTGAACATGGTATATGGATCGCAAAGATTTGACCTCTAGCCGAGGTGACATGATCAGTGGGCACTGACGATGTCACCTCGAATGATGACGAAACGTTTGTGATCTAAACGCTAACATCAGCCGACGAAAGCCACCAGGAGAATCACCAATATTGAGCTATCCCAAATGCACAGATCTAATAGGAGATATTGGATAAATAATAAGTCGAAGTAAGCCACTGGATCCGGCGATATTTACCCCCAAGCTGCGTTGCTTTGGACAAGTAAATGCACAACCAAAACACGGTCGGTACTACTCACCGGGATTAGTTAAGTTAATGCATGAAGTGGCAAACAATTGAGAAAACCTTGATAATTGAAACTGGCAGGTTATGACGTGTTAGGCACATGGTCATTGTTTGCTGATGCGGAACAACAAAAGTAATCAACTCTTCATGTGTGCTCTTTTCTTGCTTTCAACTAGAACTGATGAATTACAATAGGTATAATCGACAAGTCGACTGTATTGGAAATCGCGTGAATATAGTCCGAAATGTCTACCTTCTCACCGCCTGTTTCGTTTCACCATTTTGTCTTGTGCTACTTTTCTCCATAGTCTGACTGAACGACACTGTGGACCTCAGCCATAGCGGACATTTGACTGAAGTATGTACCATTGTCGGTCACTTGATTCGGAAGGAATCTTGCTTCATCTCGACTGGCTATAGTCCACGTATCAGTCGACGTTAAAAGCCGTAAATAGCGCCGAGCTCTCGGTTGAGATACGCGTACCACAATTAGGCGTTTGGAGTGTTTTTAGTGTGGCACGTGTCTCAACCTAAAGCTCAGTGTTGTTTACAGCACCTACAACTATAGCAAGCACGTAGTGGCCGTGTATGTGTGTGCGTGTAGCCGAATAGGTTCATCATGTCCGACCTTCAAAGTTCACGATAATAATTATTCCGTTTTGTGATGGCGGACAACGAAGAGATTTTCTGAATTATCTTTTACAGAGGTTTCAATGTCCACCGATCTGACAGCAACTGGATCGGAATTGTTCAAAACAGAAAATGGATCAACTTGTTCAGTCTTATCTAAGATGGTGGTCAAAAGGGAACAAGATCATGCAGACACATTTTGAAAGAGAACAAGATAGGAAAAAATACGTAGGCAGTTCATTTCAAATTTGTCAAACCAGCGATCATTCGCTGGAACAAACATTAAATCAAAATACGTTAAAGTGGCTGGGACGTGTGCTATGCATGCCACCCGATAGACTCCTCGGCGTACGCTGTTTTTCGAGACAGACAGGGGTTGGAAGGTAGGCTGGGATGGTCAGTCCATGACAGGGCAGATAAGTATGAAAGCCTTGACCAGTGGATTTGGTCAAGTAGGGCGTTCGATGTCCGGGTTAAGGGACCAGGCGACCCACTAGCAGATGGTTGGAGACGTTAGGTGATACGACTAGGTGTCGCCACCAGTGACGTAATTGCATTCTAACCCTTTTTTTCGTTTTCATGATTTCCGCATCTTACCTTGCTTTGGGCTCTTTTTCACTTGATGCTTCTATGCTTTTGACTTGATGACGTTGGGAGGCAACAACCGAAACAGAGAACAGGAGTGCGAGGTTAATGGTTGGATAAACTGAACTAAACGGAACGTGTCAAACACTTTGTGTCCGATTCCCAACCTACTTGTTGAAATCTCCATGGTGAACCAGATCTCGGTCAACTGCCGTTGCTCCACGTTACCAACGTTTGTGTTTTGTTTAACTTAGTAACCTGGACTGAGTGGACTGCATTTGTATCCGACCCACCTACACTCCCATATGATTATCTGTTCATCCACTCCCACTATCGCATTTTCTAACCTTCATTCTATTACTGGGTAGTTGTCTATCTTTAACCTGTTCATGTGCCCGGCTCATTGTTGGCCTAATCTCGCGTTACCTGTGGTTTCTAACCGGTCACTGTTTGCGCACCCTTTGGTCCCGCTGTGCTCTTCCGTTCATTGATCAACTGGTATCCAAAATTCGTTTCTGTTTGGTCAAACTCTTATCGTGTTGTTTATCCCCTTCCCCACACATACACTTTTACTGTCGTTTATTGTTCATGCATTCGTAATCATACCCGCGGTCGTCTGTTCAATGAACCTTAGTGTTGATCGCTTGTTAGGGCCACCTTCGCTCTTTTCCTTCCCTCCTTCTTTTGTGTCCCACGACTTGAACTGCCGTTCCATACTGACATTGACGCCTAACTGTGATTGGTCATTCTTTCCCACCTGTTTCATATAATTGCCTCCCCTCTTGTTTATTTTTCGACTTTCCTCTCGACCCTGTCTGGGTGCACTTCCGACCCCTTTTGAGGGGTGATTTATTCTCCATTGGCTGATCTGCGCATTGTGGTCGAATTGCCCACAAATCGAGTTATGTATTTATTAACGCTTGACTGTTATTCCTTCACAGCGCACGTAGTTTACCGAAGTCGCGTTCTCTGGCTAAGGATTCGCATTTCGTCTACAACGAGTCCCTCAACCATTGGACAAGAGTTCGGTACAGATTTTTTGCCTAAAAGCTCTGGATTTCGATTGCTTTGTTATCGCAGTGCAGGAGTGGAAAATTGGAACACGATGAGCGGACAAACAAAGACGAAGAGAGAAGATGAAGAACATGTGAACGAAGGTGAACCAACGGCTACGGCATAGCGGCTTAACCAACCGTTCTCGTGGGTTCCAACAACAAAATTCAAATGTTTGTGGCTGGTGGTCCAAGAGCATGATTAGTGACCATGAGCGAGCCAACGCCCGGAGCAATAACAATCCAGAAACCAAAGAAAGCAACGCAGGGCCTGCGGAACGATTAGAAAAAATGGTTGATAGCCACAAAAAAGGTTGTGACTAGTCAATTTTATGCACACTGTCGGGGAATATTGTAAAGATAACAGTCTGATAGACATGACACTAGGATTTCAGCTAAGGTATGGAGCAGTTAATGGATAGAGAAAAACGTCGGAAACGAATATTGAGCATCCCTAATACATCCATGGTTGGGGAATATATTCTTGAGAACACGCAGCAGATTCAAATACTTAAAATTATGAGGGTAGAAAAAAACGGTTAATTCAGCACGACCACACTATCAGATGAGTACTTCCAAACAATCCCTACATTCTGAGTAAAATCACTCGAAAATACCTGCACATGGAAGAAAACTGACTTTTTATGTATTATAAACGTTATATTCGCGAATGAAAAAACTCAGTAGCACTGTACAGCTGTAGCAGTGAGTGTTACTCATCGGACATTAAAATATGACGAACCATTTTCCTAGAATTATCTTGTTCCTAAGGTTAAGTGCTGACTTTGGGTAGATCAGATTGTGCGCGCGCTTCCAGTAACAGTAAAGCACACAAACTAGATGGCTATCAAATTATGGCAAATAGCAGCCGACCAGCTTGTTACTATCGTTAACTAGTTAGGGCCCTGTGGCATTCTGCACCACAAGTCTCAGGGTCAGAGTTATCGGTTCTCCCTAATAGCGCAGTGAATCCTCGTCACTACGGGGTACACTATTTCAGTTAGATTCATGGATAAAGTATGATGAAAAGCATAACTTACTGTCTGAGTGTACTCCAAACCTGTTAGATCGTTGACTGAACTCATCATTGAAGCTGTGGTAACCACAGTTGAGGTCCCAGTTGATGGACCCCAGTGGCCCAACAGATCGGACGCGAGTTGTCGATGCAGGAAGTAAAGCTGACACCGGATCCGACTGGATGGGACTCGAAGAAATCCGATAACCGAGTCTCCCGTAGCCCATCGTGTGCCACTGGGCAGGTCGAGGTCGGATAAATCGGACGGTGAATGCCATGTCAGGTTGCTTTCGGTCAGACTTAGATGTAAATGAGCAGGTGGAGAGTCGCACTAGGAGGATGTGCACGAGAGAAGGGAGGTATGATTTTAACATTTTTGAACTGGACAGACGAATGCAAAACTGTGTAGAAAAAGATCAAACAATACAGCCTAAAAAACGGTGGCCAATTAGTCTTTGCGAAACCTATTGTAATACCCATTGACTAATAAAGAATGGAGGAGATCTGTGTGCGCCTGTACACCTGAGGTGGACATTATCAGTGATGGTTTGGTTAGTTTTGTATCTTTCAACTGAATTAACAGAACGATAAGTTGTGCTCGATGACCTTTTCTCTTGTGAAGATCAAGGCACCGATTGAAAAAAATCTAATTCAACAGAACCACCCAGTGTACGTCACACTATACGTACACCAAAACGATTTAACCTCAAATGTTAAACCGAATCATTGCAATGAACTAGATTACCAGGCAAACAACTATCGAGATAATTGACCACAGCACCGGATTCAACAGCCGGTGTACAAGAAAACGGCAAAAGGCTATTCACATCCTTTTTCAAGTAAGAACGTCAACTAAGGGAGAGGAAAGAAAGCAGTGCTATTCTATGGTTATTAGTGCATCGTGCGGCATATCAATCATGGAAGCATTACAACTTTGCATTCTCACCGTTCTAACAGTTCTGACGAGACTATCGAGTGTAGTACACAGTTATTGGCATTATAAATAGCTAGTTCTGAGCCGAGCCATAAGAACACGACACCTATTGACATCAATAATCGAGAACGAGGTGGTAGTGGAAATCAAACATGGGACTGTCTGTTCCATGGAAAATTGGCAAAATCATCAGGTTTACAAACTTGGTCGTTACAGAAGTATGACAAAACAGAACTAAACTTCCACACTGCATGGGCGATGAGACCTCGCTTTGAACGCGAATGCCTCTGGAAGGCAACGAGGTACGAAAAACAGCTGTGATGAATGTTTGATCCGATTTGGTGAACTGCGGTTTTCAGAAGCAACACCTCCGGATTGAAGTAATCAATTCAATTTGCATATTCCCATTTTGTGTTGGCTGAATAGCCACACCACTTTCGTTAGTGCATACACGTTTCCTTTTCTGGCTTGTGTGTGTCCGTGTGTACATGCCTGTTAACAAACGTGATCGACTTTGAACAAATCCCGGTTAATAAAAACTGCTACAGAAACATTTCACAATCCGATTGCTTAGACGGACGATGAATAAACTCACCTCATTCGATTGTCCGTGCGACACCAGACGCGTCAGTCGAAGTGTGTCATCCACAAACGAAGCACAATAGCGTTCCCACACAGTAGGGCAATTGCAGTTCTGATACTGAACAAAAATGATGAAATACACGAATAAATACGACAAAATGAGAGTGCACGAAGGAGGAGGGAATACAACTATCAGTACGTAAGAGTATCAACAAAATGTTTAAGTCAGTTCAACTCCGTGACCCAACCGTTCCCGAACACCCAACACACCACCAAAGCGGTCCTACCGGTACGTACGCGAATCACGGATACACAGCACATCTACCACATATGATCCGGTTTAACAAGGACAGAACTTACACTCGATAAACTCGGTCCCCTCCCCCGTCATACGAACAGCATAAACATCTTTTTGACAGACTCGTTCGTGAAATTGGATTGATAACACATACTGCACAAACCTTGCGCGGATCTACGCACACATACAACAGCAGAGTGGTACTATTCAATGTGGGTACCATCATGAAAACCACTGCACTGCAAAGTGAATTTCACTCAAGGCCGTTATGGAAAACAATCACACAACATAGGGTTGAATGTAGAGAATCGACCGAGTTTGGATATACCGCGAAATAAACAATAAGACAAACTCTTCGGAATAATCATCAATAAAGATACTGCCTGCAATGCTGCGATGAAAACTCGTTACGGCGTTCTTCCCTAATTCAGCTGCTCTCGCAAGTTTCCTCACGGGCATTAGACACCGCAGCTAGTGCCCGAATCGACATCAAATATGATCTTCACAAATTCAGTTTTGTAATTATATAATATGACAACCATCATTGTTGTGTGCGACGCTTTGAAGGGAAAGAACTTATAACGAAGTTGCGAATCCAAACGAATATCTCTCACGAGAACTCTCAATTTCAGTAGCAGGAAGTCGGATTCGATTAACACATGATTCATCATGCAGCGACAAAACTTTACTCACCATCGAAAACCACGGAGGCACTGTACAGCTGCTATATCCTTGTCAGGAGTCATCAGCAGTGCACATCCACCATGCCCCCATCGGGACTCGAACCCGGGGCAAACAATCGTGAATCAAACACTTTACCACCACGCCATCCGAACTGGCTCTAAAGGTTTGTTTAACTTTACCATGATAGTGCCCTTCCGTCACTGGCTTTTCAAGGGCGACAGCCCATTGACAGCAGAGCGATCGACAACTTTGATTCTCAATAGTGAGTTAAGCTTTGTTACTGCATGATGAATTATTTGTAAAAACGAACTTCGTTGGACCGGTGAACTGTATAACGGAAATAGCAATGTAAAGAAAATTGATCACATATATACACGAAGGAATATGGTGGTCAGAACCAAAGAATGCACTCATAACCGCTGCACAGAGGATACACGGTCTTAACGAGCGCGCCTGCATTCTCAGTCAAGTCGATCTTATGGAAAAAGGATGAGTGGTGTTACGAACTAGCAGAACTTTTCATTTGTGATTGAATTAACCATCGTCGCTTACCTGATCTTGAGTATGCTTTATGTAATGTTCATTCGATCGATGGAAGAACATAAATTGATGCAACCTTCTGAGTTCTGTTTATTTCACCTTCGTATTCTTCCTATTACGGACCAGAGTGGATCTACTTGTCCGAGCCTCGTACATCGATCTTTAACTAATTTACAAGTGCGAAATGACTGTCTAGTGACGCTGTTAACGTGATACTGCCAACTAATCGATGGCAAATTAATGCTTACAGCTAAATCCTGATCGAATTTTACGCCCATTGCTCCCCATCAAAAGTATACTACGATCAACTGATATATTACCTCGTCATTTCTTGATTATTATCGCCGAATAGTTTTTATTACGTGGGAAACTACGCCAATATCTAATCTGATACAATTCCATCACTGTACCAGCAACTAGCAAACGGTGTTTCCGCATCCAATATATATGCGTAAAACCGCTTACCATGTAATTGTTATACTTTATTATGCTATCCTCGTTAACTACCGATTAATGACAATTGGTAATGGAGAAAATACGGTATTTATTACTTTTCTCGCTCGTTCTTCACTGTTAATGTTTGGCCGTCTACGTTTTGCACTCGCTCAGAATTCAGCGAGAGACTAACAACATATAAGTTTAGTTAATGAGAAGTACATCAATGAGTTTGTTGACGAAAATTCGTCCTTCGAAATGAATATTGCAAAACTTTAACTTGACTTCACTTAACATTCCATTTTACTCAGACTCCAAGCTTAACCAAACTTCATAATTCAGGGCTCCTTCATAACTCCTCGGCCTATTATTATTATTATTATTATTATTATTATTATTATTATTATTATCATATACCAGACATGGAGTCAGACATAGTGCTACCACGAATATAAAAATAAATAAGATGGATGGAAATGTGAATAATGTTTCCAAAGGATCCACGCGAATCTTTTGAGATGTTACGAGTTAATTAACTACTTGGTGGCCCAGTTCAGAGTAGGAAGATGACTGCCGGAACTTCGTTCGTCCATTTTGTTCGAGGATGTTTTGTTCACCTAAAAATGTATAAAATAGACTGGGGATTTTATGGAACAACTCTGTTTGCGAGTTGCCAAGGCTTGATTAGATTATACAAACTCTGCAGGAAATGAACTACTCATTGAACGTTTTGGCGTACATCCTTATCATATGAGCCGTTTTGGTGCATGGTTTCAAAACATAGTCCCCGCTTTTTGAACAGGCCTACAACGTGTGTTGGGAGCTTAATACTTGCAAAAGATTACTTATGTTCATCGGAAGAAACGGGTGAGCAATGAAGAGCTAAAACAGCGAGTGAATAAAAGTCTCGTTGTCCAAACCATAGGACAGTCTTTGTTTGCTCGAATAACTTTTCACGGTTGGTGCCTGATTATCTATTTGCAAAAGAGCCTTATAGCTCGGCTGGTATAGCATTTACACAAAAACAGTACTAAGGTATGGATGGATTCCGTGCGTAGGGGTATGATTCCCACTAGGGCCGAGGATATTTCAGATGCGGGTCAATTTAACTTTTGCCAGATCTGGCGGAGCGTATTTTACGATTCGTCCCGTTTTATTTACTGGTCAAACGTGATTAGGAAAAGAACACGGGGAGTGAACCATGATGTAATATAGAACGAACAGAATGTCTGTTTGGTGTATGGACACCTCGAATTTAGATAGCAAAATCCAAAGGAGCAGTAATGACTGTATGCACTGTGTGCCCTATTACATGTTACAAATTTCAAATAATGACAGGGCCTCACACAACCGCACCTGAGTAGGGAGTTGTTCAAACCGAACCATCACCTGTTGTGGCTGATTCTGTGCAGCCGGAATGGATGCGTCAGTCGAAAGTAAAAGTAGAGCCTCCGAACATCGATCTCCAGTCAGTTCAGCCTCAATCATACAATCCGGTTCTGGACATTTGCACACCAAACTGGCAGGACGGACAGATTCAACGGAACGACTGCCATGAGGTCGTAACTCGACCAAACTGTTTGTGGTGGCACAATTCTTCTCGGTAGCTGCCAGTGCCCCCATTGAAGCCGAATTGGCCGAGCTCACATAACCTAACTGAAAGAAAGAGGAGAGGAGTGTTGTGGAAGAAAATTAAGGTAACTGGAACACAGTATACATGTGAAAATAATACGTCGTACATTATCCAGATTACTTGAGGCAGAAATTTGTGATTAAAATCAATCTAAGTGAAGTAATGTTCATAGCTGTAGTCTCATTTAACTCGTTTGGAGCGTGCATGGACGAATAGTCCATGTTTAAAGTCACACGGTGATCCTTCCAGTTATTTCGTCGGTTAACCAGCCAATCTTCAGAATGAGGACACCCTCCCAAGTATGAATTTTCGATATGAGTAGTGAAGGTTGCATCTGGATTACAGGACAAAACTTCCCCAGGAACGCACGACCGGTTTCGCGGTTGGTGCCGACCATGTGTCCTCGTTTTGAAGGTAAGCCGCATTAACCGATGAAATAAATTTGAAAGAATCACCGAGTGATTATAAAAACTGACTCTTCGTCCACACCGCTTCATACGATTGAAATGAAATTACAGCTGTAAACCATCTGGGGAGTGCTCAAGTATAGGAATGACTGGGCAGAAACGTACCAGGTACGTATACCTGATGTGCGGCAAAAGCACGAAACCGGTCGTGTGCTTCAGGGGAAACTTGCCCTGTCATTTAGCTACAATACATACTGTTATATCGAGAGGTAATGTTCCTTCAGTATGTTACTGCACAACACAATAACATTCTGTGACCATAATTCAGGTCCAGGTACACTTTGAACTATATTCGACGCATAAAGTTCACAGTATTCCTAGTTGATGCTTGTCACGATGACCCGCACTTGCAAATGATCAAAACAAGGGAAGATTGCGAGCGAGATGGTGGCGACTGGGAGGGCACTGTTGCTAAAAGCACAACCGGTTTAGTGATTCAACGGTGTACCTCACCACGGTATAATGATAGTGTCGTAGCATACAACATTAAATATCGCTACATATTAAAGGAAACAATTCTACGTGGTAAAAATGTGGCTGAAAAAAAGCTGAAAGTACTTATTTTGGTTGTTTGTGAAATTTATTTAAGTTAGCTGTGATATAATACATAAAGGGTTGTCCAAGGTTGTATGGGGTTCGCTTCCTCGATCAACATGTTTATTTCCGCATTCACTGATGCCGTGACTGAAACGATGGTCAATAGCTCCGATATTTCTTCCGGTTATTTGGTGACATACAAAAGTCTTTTAAATGTTTTGAGGAGAGCGGTGGCGCACATAATTGGTTTGTACTCATCCGGAGGCACGTCAAACACTGTGTACACAATCGCTGCTCCCAAATGGCAGAAAAGTAGTAAATCTTTTAGGTACGGGAGCACTAAATGCCCTGATTTGCCATGGCTCCTACCGTCGACCATCAGTAGATTATTTTCCATGATTCACAACACAATCACAATTTTCGTTTGTTTAATGGTAAGTTTAATTTCAGCTACAGGCATTTGGCTCGTTAACGGGAGTCTCAACGCAATAAGTTGATGGATACATTGGTAAAAATGTCCAGCAACTGTTTCACACCAAGGTGTTTCCATAGCAATGAATTTTTCTGCTGTTAGAATAAAAAAATCATATGTTGCAACACCTTTTCGTTGACTTCCAGCAAATGTTGGAACATCCCGTTCATTGCCCACTCCATAGGGCGCTGGAAGGGGATAGCTCCGTTATCACGCCATTACCGTTCGTAATAGCACATAGTAAGAAGGGTTTAACAGTATGGACGTATACGTACGTTGCGAGATTCCATTGACTTCCAGCACATTTAGTTTGCTTTTGTTATTCAGTTATGGTACTGTAGCCGAAAAATGAAACGGACACTGTTGTCACTGATTATCATAGGCAGAAGTAGATTGATTTACGAGACTGAAGGACTTATACTAGCAAGTGACTTTTATCCTCCGAACTTTTCAACATAGTGATTGCATTTAAATGTTTAGCAGTCATTACCGGTGTTATCTCTGGAGCTTGTACATTAGTCAACGTTTCGGTTACCGCAAGTAACTTTCATCAAGTCAGGTTTGCAATCGAGGACCCAATTATCGGTTAACTTGCGAAGTCTGCCGAGAACGCTGTGTAACTGATAGTTATGCATTTACATATCACACACCACATGACGCAACGTTTTATTTTCATATACTGAAAACTCATTCCGCTCTGATAGACAAATCTGTGGCTACCCAACTATTTTCTTGCAGAAATCACAAAGTGCCATCAGGGTTCGAGCTAGGTCCATAGGACTGCCACTACTTCATATCATACGGAACTAATTCGTCATTGTGTTGCACATCAAATATTGGGATCTTCAACCACCACTAATGCAACACCACCATTCGGTACTGTCAAGCATATATATATATATATATATATATATATATATATATATATATATATATATATATATATATATAGTAGATAGACATTCACATCACTGACTCTCACGCTGAAACATTTACCCTGAAGTCTCAAACTAAGGACAATCTTCATCCTTTGGCACCCAACCATGAAGGCGGACGTCACCAATCGCAGACAGTCCTGATGTTAGTTTCTTTAACTCTGCGCCTAATCACGAACTGACCGCTTGTGCAAACATGTTGGTTTAATAGGTCCCATTTTGATCCACGATGAGCAATATGATGGTGAACTCTAACAATAAGGTTGTCCAACGAAGATCGGGAAGTGGATCAAAACTACAGTGATGGAATCAAGCTAAGATTTGCAGTGTTTGTCAGATTCTCGACCAACTTCGTGCAGTAGTCCAACCGAGCTACCCTAGTGAGCGAGAAAGAATTCTGCTGCAAATCGTACTGTTGAATAGTAGATTGATTAAAAAACAACAGACTACGAGAACCGATCCTTTGATAAAGCACAGTCGCAAGATGAGACCTATGTAGACTGCGAGGTGAACAAAAACAATTGAAAAAGGAGTAGGCGAAAAAACTTACCGAATCCCCAAATATGTGCCGTATTCGTCGTAAGTGCCGCACTGTACGTGCCACTTGCGGGCCGGTTGGGGACATGAACCCAGACGGTCGACCAGGCAGTTGAGTTGTTTGTGACAAAACACTTTATTAGATGTAAAAAAGGGGAAAACTTCTTTGAACACACACAGATTAAACAATATACCTAATAGTTATGCGGTTTTTATAATTTCCAGAGTGATCTTGCAATCATAACCAACATACAGAAATGCATCAGTAGGCATGCTTTTGCTAACTATACTCCTAAAAAATGCGCATTATTTACAAATATTTCGGCACATTTGAATCTCACTCGACTAGTGATATGTACTGTTTCATTAGTAGTCTATTACCACCCTAGTGAGCAACTTGGTTGCGATCTGCATGGACATCATCCTGAGAGCGTGACTGTACCAGCCAGTCGTACTGGTTATTATTACCGTGTTCCAGGTGCCTTCTATAAACATTTTACTGTAAATATTCATGGCTCACAAGGGAGGTGTTATTTTCGTCGACAAGCAAAGCAATTCATTACCTATCGGCGATACTACTTTCTCGAGAAGGGTGATATGTAGCGATTTCATGCACCGAAATTAGTTTCTCTGATCAAACGTCTGATAAAATTTGACAAACAAACGAGCAGTAGTCAGATGAACCCAATTTCAAAAGCGTCAATCGATCTTATTAAGCAGGTCGTCTACTAGAAAACAATTCTCACGTCCAGTGAGAGACCACCTTCACGGATAAACATCATGAGGAGTATTTAATCAACCAAACAGCTTGTGCCCTATCAAGCGTTTGAATACCACCAGGACTGAAAAATCCTACCGTTTGGATAACATTAACAATCATCCAAGATATAAGATCCTAGTTAATACATAAACAAAGTAATCCAGGTTATTAAAGACGATGAGAAGCGTACTCATACAATACCGAGCAGCTCTTTTTATATCCAACGGTTCCAATCGCATTGGCGCACTTACAGACAGTTGCATATCCGAAATCATCTGAAAATCTCGCATCAAAATTCGAAAGAAGTTCCTGCACAAAATATCCTTATAGCTCTGTTTGACAGACTAACACCACACTGTTCTGCAGTGTACGCTCATGAGTCGGGATCTTAATGGATCGGGATTTTAATAGACAAATGCAAATTACGACACAGGCTGAGGAGCCATTGGAGATTTATGACCGAATAATGCCTCGCGGATGCTCACACCGGTGTTTCTTTGGGAAATCTAACTGGAGTCATCAAATCAAGTCCTACCTGCAAGGCAGTGGAGCGTTAACTGAGCTTGGGAACGTGACCAAAGCACTCGTGTTGGGAGTTCTTCTGGTTTGTCCCATAAGACAGAGTTGTTGTTATGGTGCTCTTCAGTTCACACATTTTCCTCACTAATTGATGTCATTTGAAGTTTTCTTATTCTTTTTTCATGCTCTTGATTGTCTTGATTTCGAGTGAGATTTGGGCTGACAGACAGCAACCTGAACCGTCACACTTATTGTATGACTGATGGTTATGTAGTCGGAAAGGACGTGCAGGCTTCTGCGAACAATGAGTGACTCTGGAGTCCACAATAGCCCTTCAAAAAAAGAATTCACATCATCACGCACATTTGTCTACGTCCAAGGGTTTCTTTTTGTCATTAACCTTTTTATCATACTGCATTATTGATGTCGTATTTAGAGACTGATCAAAGCAAAAAATTGGATGAGGCGGTCACACATGTAAATCGTGAATTGTTCAAATCATCCTCAAAAAATCTCGGATAGTCAAACGGTTATCATCGTGGACTTTGAACAATAACGACCCGGGCTCGATTCCCGCCACCGCCGGCCACTTCCCATTATGACAGTCTTTCACAGGCCGCGACCCCCTCCCCAAATTGGTGTGCACTGTTGTATAATAAATAAGAAAAGTAAAAGGAGTGTTTTTCATGTACGATAAAAGATCCCGACAGATTTACCTTTGGGGGAACAACGATGGTGGATGAGAACATTCGGTAGAAGCTACTCGTGAATCCGGAATCACAGTGAATTGGCCACCAAGCGCTGTGAATGAGGTAAGGAAATGCTGGATAAGAGCTATCAGGAGGAAAAAACATTATGTAAATAATATGATCAAGGTATACTAGTCGACAAATGAAACGACGCCAGTTCGGATTTAACTGGGTTGAACCATGAAGTACTGCACTTCATAAAACAGATAAAAACAGACATATCTAACGTCGCATTACAGTGGCTTGATTATTAAGGCCGTAAAGCACAGACATGATACAGACCTGAGAAACGTAATGCGAAGAATAATTCGTTTAGATCAAGTGTTACTGAACATATGGTATTTCAAATGCGATCGACTAATTTGCTTTGAAAATATCTCTATTTGTTTTGAAGAGGATAGAAAACATTCACATGACCAAGATTATCGTTATCTCTGTCTTTTCATAGCTGGATCGTGTCTAGACGATTGTACGTTAGTGGGGTTTGTGGTAGCGGAGCACAAGAATGGAGGTGTGTGGATTTGCTGTGTGGGACTTCATAAAGAGCTCTATAAATAAATATCTCTCAATCGAGTTGCTGTGACTTGGGCCTGAAGAGCTCAGGTGAGAAACTACTTCAACATAATAACAAACAAACAGACAACCGTGTCGAAGTGGCACAAAATCAACAACAAAAACACGCTGCACTGATGAGGGATTTGGATATTCCTGAGAGTCAACATATCTTTTGGTTTGCTATCAAGTAATATATGTTTCGTGTAAAAAGTGAGCAACGTCACCTAACGAGTGAATTAATGAATGAACTATCGTTCAACGCACATTCCACAGAAATTTCCGTTCAGTTCAAAGTTATTGAGTGCAATGGATGCCGCATTTTGATCTTCAGTGGGATGTACTAAGATTAAAGTCATTTTTCACATATAACAATCTCATCAGCATTCCAAGGCTCATCTTAGGTTAGGAACTTTGCTGTCAAAAAGGTCAAGTGGTTGAGAAAGTAGGAGAATGCCTTGCACCTTCAAAGTGCAAAATTCCACTTCAGAAGTGGTTGGGCCCAAAACCAAAACTTTTTCTAATGAATGAAATGACATTTGGTGGTAAAACGATCGGCCATCATGGTGAACTTGAGGCCTTTGGTCCTGGGTTCGAATCCCGCCACCGTCACCGGTCACTTTCCCAATCGGCAGCCTGCAACTGGCCGCGACCCCCTGCCTGAAACATTGCACCCTGGCCATTGAACTTGGCCAAGTAGGACGTGTGGGACCTCTCTGATGGGGTTCACGAGACCCTCCTACCAGTTGGTTGGAGACGTTCAGTGATATGGCTACAAGTCGCAGTCAGTGGCGTAATTGCACTCGGTCTATTTCTCTGTATTTGTGATTTCCGCCTATTACTTTGTTTTCGGCTCTCTTTCAGTATATGCTTTAATTCATTCTGCCATCAACTTGACAACGCTGTGAGGTAGTAACCAAAATGAGGGCACAGAGTTGCTAAGTTGATGGGTGAGCGTATTTGGTATCGATCGGGCCAGTTTTGATGATTTTCTTGGAAACTCATTCTACGGACGTATGACACAAGCAGACTATCGGCATTTGAGTACCGATTCCATTACTTGAGTCTACCAGGACGGTAAGATGAGTAGCATCAACGTCGGACGCTAAGTCTTTGTTAATGTGGTATTACATGGACCTGAAAGTAACCTCTTATCGCAATGCTCTAAGTAACGTGAACAGGACACAAATCCACGCTGTCAGGACTCTAACAGTGATCAAAGATGATCGATTTATATTGCAATCGGATAGGTTGAACCAACAGAGAGTTCGGATCAACGGTGAATCAGCTGCCTGAATCTAACTACCGTAGGAAGCGATTCGATCAACTGGTTGAGCCAGCGTGACAACAAGTCTTTGCGTGTTAGCAAGATAATTTTGATTGAACATCCGTCGTCCGTGGTAAAACGTGAGACACATCCGTTTTTTAAAAATTGATTTCAGATTGGTTCACAGAACACCCAAACAGCTAATCAAAGCTAGTCGCATGTGACAAAGGGCATCAAAACGTTGACCAATCGACGGGGTCAAGCGAAGAATCTTGAGTTATCTACCAATAGACTAGAGAAAATGAACCACTTCTGACCGGGTGCCACATTCGGTAGCAGCCCAGTGCCCGCACTCATACTTCACTTAGATGGCCATCTCACTCATATATTACCCCTACCGGTTTTGATCTCTTCACTGTTTATTTCACAATCAGACTGTATTGAGAGAGGGCGAGAGTGACTAACACTGCAGCTTTTAAATACGAGCTTGGAGTGGCTGAACACTTTAACAAACATTTTAATTTAAGTGACCTGCAACATCTTCTACCAGAAACATTGCCGACGTAACGTGGGCCTAACACTACTTTACTTTGCTGAAATTATAATGGTAGAGAGGAAGAAAGAGCACGTATGTTACCGCATTGAAAACCGGCTCATTAATAATTTGATGCTCCACACACCGCTAATTCCAGTGTCCCCAATAAGAATAGCTTGCAAAATGTGATCAACATGCAAATACCAGGAAATTTGCCTTTCTAGAATAACGCAAATCAAATATACCGACGATAGTAACGCATGGACAAATCTCTGCAAACAAGGCGCAAATTTCAGCCGTCACATTAGACAATTTCCATCTCATCCATGTAATGAACCACAGTGAGAACGATGGAGAAATATAGTTGTGAAGGTAACATCGATAGCCGGCCAAGTCTCGATGGCAGTCAGCGCGTCAGCGCCCGTCCATAAACCAGGTCAATGCTTCAAGCAAAGGATTAGCGAGCGACAGGGCAGCAGACCGATAAGATAAGAACGGATTCCCGTCAAGTAGTAACTGGCTGTATCACCAGTCAACCAATCAGAAGAGAAGTTACCCGATGCAAGTTTGAACCAATTAGTTTGTGCTGCAATGACTGGTGATAGTGACTGTTCCTACAGAAACAGTATTCTGAACAAATAAACTGAAATGATTCGAAGGCAGAAAAGTCTTCTCACTGGAGCTAGTGGGACGGAACAAAACAATAATTAACGACTTGTCAAAACGATTGACAGCTGAAAGATATCCTTCACCAGAGAGTGATCACAGTGCCAGCTTCTTCATGCCTCAGCGGTTGATGTAGGGAGGACGGGATTGGGTCAAAACGTCTTCCTGGAACACCATTGCTCGAAGGCGGTTACAAAAGATGCCGCGTGCAGCGTTAGAATGTGGAAGAATCATCATAGTGTTAGTATGAAAGAGGACGTATGGAATTCTGAGTGTTGTTGTCTGTAGTAATCGGTCGCCTAGTAGAAAATCCCTCGCAAAACCACCCTGCAGTTGAGGCCCCAAATAGTATAACATTTCAAATATTCACTAGAAATTTAATCAGGTCACTAAATTGAAAAGCGGTTAAATCTGAATCCGTTGCGAAGGCTCAAAAATGCCCTGATTTTTTCGTTCAATGGTTCATATATAAATAATCTATTACGATAAAGGAAGAATCTTTTTGGATAGCAACCACAGCTAATCACAGGCTAACGTAAGGGGAATTGGCCGGTGATAGCGAGATGCGGCTTCGGAACCAAGATCTGCGATGGACAATGTTTTAACCATCTCCAGTAAATCTCGGACAGCTGAATTTTGGAACAGTTCATTCTGTACTATCTGTATTGTTACACGGAATCAGAATATTTTTGGTGAAAGAATAACTCTAAGATTCATAGCAGACGTTTCTAGAAGTAGTTTTCAAACTGTTGCCGATGGATAGAAGACAACCTAGAAGCGATTACAACTCAAGTTAGGTACGTCATTCGACGTTTGTCCTCTGCTGTGAAATAGCAGAACTTTTCCTAGATACATGTCACCAACTTCATAAGCGCTGTTATTAAATAAACGTTCAAAGGATCTTTGGAGAGGTAAACTAACGAAAATGTTTTTATATTGAAGGAAAGCTACGTACAGCCATAAACTGGATCGGACTTACTGAGCGCAACAAGTTGGAATTAAGATTTCATGTCTGCTTAAAAAATACAGTGAATACGAAAGTAATTCCACACGGTGAGTGCGTGAAATGACACTGTATTACGGCCGTCTACTGGTTAGTCGGCCGTGAGGTAAGGGAGCCTGTTTGCTTGTGTCAAGCTGTCCGCCTTGAAGTTGTCTCAGTTCAGTCTGGCGATGTGCGTGTGTGAATGTGCTGCCGGTGTGAGAGAGCTAGGATTTCTGGATAAAGAGATCCCTCGCTGTGTGGATGCCATGCATGTTTTTGAGTTAATTGGGATTTTCATGTGGTATGCCCGATTGCAATAGAGACTCACATGGATCGCATTTGATTGAACTTTTGTGTGAAGAACACAAAGCTACAAAAATTGTTGGATGAAACAACCAAAATAACTTACATATTTTCCACTGTTTTTATCCCGCTGTGTGGTGGCCGGCACAGGACACCCTACGGAAGGGATAAACGAAACCGATCTACCGAATGGGCAGGAAGACTAGGGGAATGGTCGCATATCGCGCACAATAGCGCTCGTTAATGCACACTGCTTGCATCCATCTGATGATTCAGTCTGTAGCTTACCTTTGACGTTTTCGTTCTCTCAATACTATTAATGATACCGTTATTGTTGCATTTCTCGACTGGATTTTTCTGGGACAGCAGTCAAAAGCCGTCGTAACTGGTGCTTAATTGTTGATTGTTCAAACAGAAACTAAAGTTTCGTGGTTATTCCGACTAAACTGCTGAAGAGCAATACGTGCAGAAATGGGCAGAAAAAAGGAATAATAAGACTAAATAACACAAAATAAACTTAAATCGACTTAACTAGACTCACATTTGTCACACGGTTGTGTCCGGGTAGGGGTGAACGAGGACCATGAGAAGACCTGATGAGTACTGGGGGCCATAGTCGTTTGACCAGCGGTCACCGAAACGGCGTTATCACATGTTGCTGCACTACTTTCCGAGAAAGACCATGGTGGTGTACAACAAATGGGCACAGTAACTTGACCGTCATCTACTGGCCCTAAACTCACATATGGTTGTGGGCAATAGTGCATACGGATCAAACTATGTGCTGTATAGTGTGCATCCCCGGACAACGCGTGCGTGACCGTGTCACCCGGTCCGAGACGAACAATATCCACACAGCTGATCGGGGCCGTCACTGAGATGGCCGAGTTCGGAGGTAGGGGTGGGGTGTTCGCCGGACTCGGTACGCTGGACGAAGAGAAAAAAGTGGCTCCACGTGATGATGATGATGAGTCGCTAGGATGTTTCACGCTGGTTGGTGATGTGCAGGCGGACAAAGACTGATAGGTGACACCCGAGGATCCTAACCCTGGTGAGGCTTGTGTGTTTGCGGGCAGCTGGGATCCATCTGGTGTTTCCAATATCAGGCCGCCAACCCGAGTCATTTGCAGTGGGAAAGAGCCTCGACGAGCGCCCGCAGTAGTGGTCGTGGATGTGCTCAACTGGAACGGTGGATGAAGTGGATGTGGATGATAATAGTAGCCCCGAGAACTGGACCAAACTGGAATGCGAATATGAGCACGAGACGGGCCGCGAACCGTGGAACCGCAACCAAATCCGCTTTGACCGGGTCGACTCAGGAGGATGGGCTGATGCGTGGCAAACGCTGGACGTACATGACGCGGATGGGCAGGGTAGGACATGGTTTCTCTAGTCGGACAAACTGTAGACTCATGATCCTCTGAGTGCATGGATGGAACAACTTTTGGTGGAGAACGACTAGCTTGGTCCAAACTAGTACAGCCTATGTGTAACAGCTGATCTGGACTCAGACCGCCATCAATGGCTAAACTAGCGACAGCACCCAGCTGGGGTTGAGTTGACCCGGACAAGGCTTGAGAACCGGTTATACGTACTGCTGTGGTACGGACATTTGTGTGTCGGGGTTTGAAGTTAATCTGCGGTACCGGAGTGCTGGCGGGCAGCAAATCTACGGGTTGCTGATACTGATCTGCTCGTCCGGATTCCGATGAAAATGGTCGACCTGAGCAATAGGATGACTTTCCATCCACAACGGAGCCTGGCCGGTATGCTTCTTTCCGAACTAATCGTAAATTGACCTCAGCACCAGCCACGTCAGATGGGACCGGGGTAACGTTGGCCACCGGGACGAAGTTATCTATCGGAAATGGAGAAAAGAAAACAAAAAAAACTGAAAGGCGAGCGGGCAATTGGAAGAACGGTGCAAATCTGCGACCTTAAAAGGGGACATTCATAGCCACGATCCACGCATGCCACGGTGAATCACAGAAAAAGTGCAGAACAACGAGAGAGTGCAATCACACCCACACAAATAGGAGAAAAACCCACACGTGATATGACGCAGCTTGGTTGCGAGAAAAGAAAGACACGACAAGCGATGCGGCGCGAGACGTGCGCGGATCGAAATTCGTCCGGGAAAGATTGTATTGAACGTGCGAAGGCGAAGCGATTTGGTGTGGTTGGCGAAAAACAGGATACGGAAAGCTAATTCTGTTACAGCTAAAAATAGATATAACAGCGTTCGATTGCAGCGCACGCGCGAACCTGCACGTGCGCGTTTGTGTACGAGGGTACAAACACACTCGGGTGTGCGTGTCCACAAAAACGGTAGCGTGCCACTCCGTACGCTTGTTCTTTCACATAACCTGCGACCGAACTACGGACAAAGCGAACAGCAGGAAGGATGTAGATCGGAAAACGACTTAGGCGGTCGGTCCTGCAGCGGACGCAAACGGACAACCAGCGTGAATAATCGATTGTGATCTAAAAAGACTGCGCGCAGCTGATGTGCGTGTGTTTGAGAGAGACCGAGCGACTTTGCGACCGAAAACAAGTAAAAGAAACAACATACGCATATACGAGCAGTATCGTGTACACAAGGCGTACAAAACGGCAAATATGCACAGAAAACCATAGGAGAATAGACAAACGGCAAATTAAAGTTGAGTCGCTGAGTGCCTGATGTGTTAGCTCACTGACTGATTGATTTCCGACACTAATTCGGTCTGAACGGGCTCACCAATAAACAAATGAAACGGCCGCAACTAGATGGGCATGTTGACCAGTACGTGGGCATGAGCCAACGGCATTTACAAGCAGATGATAGTAATGAAACGTGCCGGTAACCCGGATATTAGAAAGTCCGTTTAACAATTTGTAGCTATGCTCAGCACAAAGTTAATTTAACAGGATCAGATGACAGTCTGCTACGAGGAAAATAATTCACGACGGAATTACGTTATTGAGATCAAGAAAACCCACCACCATACGGAATCACAAGCGCGAATTCGCAAAAGAATCGAAGGAAGAGTAATTTCACATTCTAGGAGTACAACTGCTCAAAACAGTTCGATGACAACACTTTTATTTTCAAAACTGCTGATTTTGAAACTTGATTCTATAACTTGGTAAGTAATGATCAGTGGATGAAGATAAGCGCTTCCAAAATGAATTGTATTGCATATTTAAAGATGACTTTGACAGATGGAGCAAGGTTCAAAAATGCAAAGCCCCACACTATTAGAAGCAATCGGCAAACCTGACCACGAGACATTGCACGGTGAACCACTTGATCACTCAGTTAGTCGGTCACAGAAACGATCTGGGCGAAAGTGGAACTGTGTGTCACAAAATCACTGTACATCCCTATTAGAGACAGTAAGTATAAATTCAGACATCTGAACAATGTAAATCCGGTAGGAAGTAATCTGAATGGATATAGATCGCTGATCGTTACCCATCTACAATTGGTGAACAATAACCAGTCGATGAACACAATTATTCTCGACCCTAATGATTCATGCTGTGAAAGACGGCAATAAGAACAATGCTAAATATCGCGCTAAGCAGAAGTTCGACCAATAAAAGTGTCGTCGCCTCTTCGTCGGAGTTTGTTGTCGCTAGTTGTGGTCCAGTAGGATAAGCTCGAAAACGAAGTCCAAAATTCACTATGGTCGATCAATTTCTGTAGCTCTGTTATGTACTTTCGTCTACGTATATGGTATCATTTTTCTGTCTCCTTACGACACCTGACCTACTGGGACCCTAATGGTTCCCCACTCCAAGTCTCAAGTTCTGGTTGCCGGCTATTCCCGATAGTGTGGTGGGGGGCTGAGGCTACGGGGCATACCTCCTCTACTGGACTCATGCAGTACACTAAGCTAGAATCCTTAAGCCACTCGGTTTGATGAGTTCTAGTCACATTGGCGGAGTGTGATATGGATTAGTCAGTAAAAATGTTTAAGACCGTAGTTGTTTGGGGGTGGGAGGTTTTTCGTCTCATGCCGAGATATCGATAATGTTCGCCCACCAATGCGACCCAGATTCTGCCAAAGGTAAACAACGTTCACAATGCTAGTAAGCAGCTTTTGCATCACGTTTTGATGTTTTTTGAGATCACGCATCGCAACATCACGGTTCGTGCATCATATTCAATATCAATGAAACAGGTTTGCTGTTTCGAAGAATAGTTCAAGTAAGTCAATAGTATTCTGACATGAAAAAGCAAAAGACCGTTGACAATAATGTTATGGTGCAGTACCTCCGGCGAAAATCTAAGGCCTTAAATGGTTGGGAAAAGTGCCGATCTGAAGTGTCCCAAAAACCGACCGCAAACTGGATTATGAAAACAACCGTAGCGCTTGGATGGTGAGAAGCATATTCGAGGTGTGGCTGAGACGCTGAAGCACTGCATCTGCTACCAAGAACCGAAGAATTCTTTTATTACTAGATAAATGCAATGCGCATTTAGAGCTATATTTAAGAAAAATCATCATCATTTCCCTTGTGATATCTAATATGCACGTGAATATGATGTAGCTCAATTTGAGAAACGACGCATCTTCCCAAAGACTATTTTATCCATATACTCACAAGAACAAAAACTCTGGGTTCTAGGTTGCTATTTAACCCTCAGGCGAGTAGGTTACGGTGTGTATTTTACTTTGATTGTACGAAGTCGTTTCAACAGTGAAATACAAGAACACTAGATATTAAGTGATCCTTCAGGTTGAATTTACTCTGTAGAATGGTTGAAAATGCATATTTTCAAGCAAACTCCAGTCAGAAATGATATTTCGACTATCTCCCTAGCTGAATGCAATGTCTCCTAGCAAAAATTTGAGCGGTCCCGGTTAGTGTTTCTTACTGGAGAGCAGTACCGTGTCTGCAACATTGTATAAACTGCACCTGAGGGTATGCGAAACGTTGGTTCATATAATCCTATCAGAATCCACTGACCATTTATACAGTGATTCATCCAAGTGTAATTCTCTCGTCTCCTCTTTTGGATCCAAACCCTGTCGTATTACCGTCCACAGAAAGCGTAACTTCTCTTATCTGGATCGAATTCTCCCAAACCGCAAGCGAATGCCCGCGGAACTCATTACCAATTTGAGGTGCGAACATTTTTTCTATGCCACAAGTCGATAAGATTTACATTATGAATCTGCTATGACTGAAATGTGGACGTACATCTACGGAAGTCTGATCAAATACAATGTAATACTACCGGTGTATGCGCATAAATCCGTTTGATGAAAAACAGAATCATTAGCAATAATTATTCAATTAAAATAAGCATCTGTTACCAACTTAAAGTTTCTTGGCAGCTACATAATGGCTGAACGTGATACTGGAAGGTCACTTCACGGATATCCAGAGACAGAACAGCTTTCGAAAACCTGCGACACCTGTGGCGTTGCCGTGATATCCAGCTCTCTCTTAAACAACAGGTGTACGTCACCACGGTTCATAGTGTTTTCCTTGACGGTCGCGAGACCTGGTCACTTCACGTTGAGGATGCTCGGCGTCTTTCTGTGTTCGATAACCGATGTCTCCGAAGCAATGATCACGTCTGGTGGGAACATCGAGTGAGTAATGATGAGATGCGGTGTCGTGTGTTAGGCACGGATAGTCGGCCTCATAACGAAGTGATCACTCTACACTGCCTCCTGTGGCTCGGTCGTGTTTTGCTAATGTCCACCCATCGTCTACCTTACCGTGCCCTATTTGCACATACTGGGACAAGCTGGAAGAAGCGACGTGGAGGTGAGGCCATGGTTTTGGCGTAGAGATATGAGAAAGCTAGCATTAGCATTGGCTTCGGTTGATGCTTACCTCCTCCATGGTTGGGGACCAAGGGGTGGGGTCGTCGTTCGTAGGAGACGCTGAGGGACATAGCCCAGAATAGAAGTCGGTAGCGCAAATGCAGTAAGGCCTGTTTGTTGGTTTTCGGTTCCCGTAAACAAAACACTAAATGAAAAGACAAGAAAACGCGTTCTTTATCCTTATTAACCGATTGACCCCAACTCGTTGTACTTGATTCGATCTGTTTCTCTTGCTGTTACGGTTTTTGTCGCATTGACACTAACCTTGATTTCAAGGTGGAGTTTTACATACTATATATATATATATATATATATATATATATATATATATATATATATATATATATATATATATATATATATATATATCATCATCATCATCATCATCATCATCATCATCATCATCGTACAGCGTTAAACAGTAGGGCAAGCCCCACTGACCACTGCCTTTCTCACCATGTTGCACGTTGAATTAAAAAGTATGAATATACAAGATGGAGAGGGAGTGGACCTACATGGGTGGGAAAAGAAAAGAATGCCCTAGTAGCCAACACACGGAATACACAGTCTAACTGTACAAACGTACACCGATCAAACATTCTGATTCGATAGAAAGTGACAACACGATCGCCACTGTTCGCGGTTCGCTGCCATATCCTTCAGTGTCTCCAGCCAACTGGTAGACGGATCTTTTGGACCCCAACCACGAAGACGTGAAGCACCTACTTTTCCTAAGTCTGCTGTACATTTTCTCATTCCTCGCTGCCACGTCATCTGTTGACCTCCACGTGGTCTCTTCCACTCCCTAGGAGGGGCGGAGAATAGGACACGGCACGGTAGACGTGTGTTTGCCATACGTACCACGTGCCCCAACCAACGAAGTCTACTAAGTCGGATACGCTTTGACAAAACGTTCTCTGAATTAGTACCCAATACTCGCTTTCTTACCTCATCGTTGCTTACTCGGCTATTCCACCCAATCCTAGCGATACTACGTAAACATCGATGGTCGAAAACCTCAAGACGACGAATATCTTCAGCACGCAGACTCCAAGTTTCGCAACCGTACAACAAAACTGAACGCACAGTGGCACAGTATACACGACCTTTCAACTTCAGTGAAATATCGGATCGGCGCCACAAGTGCTTCAGTCCAGCGTACGCCGCTCGAGCCTTGGATATCCGCGTACTCACCTCTACTACTGTGCTCCCATCCGTCGTCACGCAGCTACCGAGGTAGGTGAAGTGGTCGACAACTGACAGCACCTCCCCATCGAGCATCAAGCTCGGAATTGTTGACGTCCAGTCTTGTAACATCACCTTGCACTTTGAAGGTGCAAAGCGCATGCCGAATGGGGCTACAGCCCTTGCGAGATTATCTAGTGCACGCTGAGCATGTTCCGTGGATTCGAACAAGCAGACAACGTCGTCTGCGTAATCTAAGTCACATAGCTTTTCACTATCTCCTAGTTCGACCCCTACATCCTGAAGATTTTGCAGCCCACTCTCTATTATTTCGTCCATGACGAAGTTGAACAGGAATGGAGACATAGGGCATCCCTGCCGAACACCACTGGTCGTTTCGAACCGACCGGATAGTTCGCCGTAAACTCTAACGCGGCCAGAAGTATGAGAATACAATGATCTCAGTAGGTTCACGAACTTCTGGGGCATACCTTTTCGATGAAGAGTACTGAAAAGCGATGTTCGATCAACTGAATCGAAGGCGCCTTTCAGGTCTAAGAAAAGCATTATTGTTGGTCGGCGGTGCGTGTGACGCGTTTCAAGAAGTCGGCGAAGAGTAAAAATCTGGTCGATGCATCCTCGACCTGGGCGGAATCCTGCCTGCTGTTCGCGGACATTCCTCTCGCGAGCCGGTGTAAGACGGTGCAGCAAAATCGAAGCTAATACTTTGGTGACTATCGGGATTAAGCTAATCCCACGATGATTACTGCATTCATTGCGTATTCCCTTCTTGAAGATGGGAACAATCAATGACTCGCTCCATATTAACGGAATACGCTCCTCCTTCCAAATGTCACGGAGCAAGGCGGTTAGTGATTTTATCAACGCCTCACCACCCAGTTTGAAAAGAACTGGAGGAAGTTCGTCGGGACCTGCCGCTTTCCCCCGCCTTAGTAATCGAATACATGACTCTACTTCTACTTCTGATGGGGGCTCAAGGAGTCACAGTTGTTGACACGGGAGTAACTACACTAGCGTGCGGCCAGCTAAACTGTTCCTTGAAGTACTCGGCCCATCGGTCAAGCCTTTGCTGTTTGTTATGGATGGGTTCTCCATTCCTATTGCAAATCGCTTCACTGACCTGAGTTCGCCGTCCACTGGTGTCACGAATAAGTTTGAACAGTCTTTGACTGTTACCTGAAGCAGCTGCCACTTCCATTTCTTCGGCTACATTGACCCACCAATTTTCGCGATCCTTCTTAAGGCTTCGCGTAACTTGTCTTTGCAGCTTTCTCCGCATCTTATTCATCTCCTTACGGTTCGAAAGCTGACGCTTTTGCTCCATTATACTCAGCGACTCTTGCGAGATCCAGTGTCTTCGATGGACAACGGATCCAGGACCACAGGCAAAACCTGGTGCAACGTGCATCGCCTGTTTGATATGAGACCAATCCTCATCTACATTACTGTTCTCCGTGGATCCTAGCTCATGTGCTAACTTCTGCTCATAACGGGTGCAAACGTCTGGATCACACAAACGTTGCACGGCTAATCGGGTTTGCGGTTTGTGACGATGACCATGTAGCTGGAGAGATAATCGCATTAAAACTAAGGCATGGTCCGACTCTACGTACGTGGACCAGTAAGATCTACAGTTATGAACAGAACTGCGCCACCGGTAGCTTACGGCGATATGGTCAATTTGACTAAAAGTACTTGTAGAGTTAGAGCGCCATGTCGCTGTGCGACGCGAGCTGTGTCGGAAATTTGTGCTAGACAAGAACAATCGATTGTCTGTACAAAATTGGAGAAGCCTATCCCCGTTATCTGTGCGCTCAGCGGGTAAAGCACAACGCCCACCTAAACAGACTTCTGACACACTGAGTTTGCCAACTTGTGCATTGAAGTCACCAGCTAGCAATACAATGTCGGAACCTTTACTGCTGCGAACGAGAGTGGCGAGGGCATCATAGAACTCATCTTTCTGCAAGTCTGAGCTGCAGTCCGTTGGGGCGTACGCCGAGATTACGAACAAATTGCGTTTAACACAACTATCCTTTCGAACGCCGACTGACCCTTGGAGTCTCACAGCACATAAACGACTGTTAACAGGGATCCAGTCTAATAGGGCAGCCTCAGCCTTGTCAGTCAAGACAATTCCTACACCACGTTGACCCACAGCTCTAGCTGCTTCGTCTCCTGAGGTGCGCAGAATATACCTCGATGAGATACCAGGAGCAGTTAGCTGAATTACATTGCTCGAATCCTGGATACGCGTTTCGCTTAAGCAGCAAACATCAATCTTCAGAGAGTTCATTGTGAGGGCTAGGCACGCCTGCTGACCGGCCTGCATGAGTGTACGCACGTTGAAGGAGCCGAGATTCAGAGGCTGACGGGGCTTGAGAAAATGTGAGTTACCAGTCAGAGGATTATTCCCGACACTATTTGACAGTGAACCGTTGCGAGTATCGACCGTGTTATCAATGGGAGCATTATGGGTGGATAGATGGGGAAAAGAGGGATGGTTAGGGACATAAGACAAAGGTTGAATAACAGAGAGGGAACTCTGAGCAGTAGCACACTTATCACTACCCACCCCGCTCGATGCAATGGGCAGCGCGGTCCTGATTAGCCTGCGCGACGACCGATGCAGTATGGAATTCTTTGTAGTCGTGCAGTTCATGGGAGATGTTGGACGGGTACTGCTAGGGTGTCCAGCCACAAAGCAGGAGAACGATTAGGGTCCTCATCCAAAGGCTTTAGTTCTGACAAGAACCTATCCGCAAGGCAGCGGGGTGGCTTAGTGGAAGCCCATTTGCTTGGATCAATTATTCTTCCACTGGTTTTTCCGACTGAGTTTCCAGCTCAAATCAACCCCCAACCTGGAGGACCAGGAGACAGGACTTCGTCTGACCTCTACCCATTGACCCGTCAGGTATGATTGCATCTCCGGCTTAAGGAAGCCATCCTGTATAGCTCTTTGGGTCATAGAGGCGCGCAAGCCATCACACCACGTCAAGGTGCAGTCTCGTCGTGATATATATATATATATATATATATATATATATATATATATATATATATATATATATATATATATATATATACGGATAGAACACTGAAAGGCAGACGATGGGTGGACATTAGCAAAACACGACCGAGCCACAGGAGGCAGTGTAGAGAGATCACTTCGTTATGAGGCCGACTATCCGTGCCTAACACACGACACCGCATCTCATCATTACTCACTCGATGTTCCCACCAGACGTGATCATTGCTTCGGAGACATCGGTTATCGAACACAGAAAGACGCCGAGCATCCTCAACGTGAAGTGACCAGGTCTCGCGACCGTCAAGGAAAACACTATGAACCGTGGTGACGTACACCTGTTGTTTAAGAGAGAGCTGGATATCACGGCAACGCCACAGGTGTCGCAGGTTTTCGAAAGCTGTTCTGTCTCTGGATATCCGTGAAGCGATCTTCCAACACCACCTCCAGCCGCTATCAAACTACCAAGTCAGTCAAGTCCAGTAGAGACTAGCCATGAACCTCACAACTGGTTCTGACCGTTGCCCATGATGGAGTTCAATCAAGCATATTACGCGAATAACTGAGAAATATGCGCAGTATCAATCACCTAACGATAAGCAACTCCTGGTGCATATGGAAATTTAATTCCACGAGCTAACGGACGGAGTTCCGTTGAATCCTCGACCGAATAACCTGGTACTGCTTTGCTCTGGTCTTGTTTTCGGATGATATTCGCACTATTCCACAGCGAAATGAATCGAAGTATGAAGAGCAAACAAACACGAAAGTAAGTCATTGTGCAAATAATACAGACGACAAACTTCGAATGCAGCTACGCCAATGACCGCGGCACCTAGCTACCCAATCTAATGTCCTCAACCACCTTATGGGCGGACATCGTGAACCCCGATACGTCCCACTTAGCCCGGTTTGTGGGTCAAAGTTATCATAGCTTTTGCCATTCCACAGACTGACGTCCTCGACCCAATCTCCAACCACTACCTGTCTCGGAGAACAGCGTGGACCGAGGGAGTCCATCTGAGGGCTTGCGTAAAACACATCCCGACCATTTCTGCGTTCCAATACCCTACGGTGACCTCAGAATTGCTGACACGGACAAACAGATAGTCTGGTCACATATGAGAGATACATCTTTGGCGGATTCGACCAGACTACAAAAAACCAGACATCTTATTTCCGTTTTCAGAGAGATCTAATTTGAAATTACCAATCCATCTTGGTGATCAGCAGCAATGTCATGCCGCAGCATAGCACATCCAGTGTCTTTTTTCTTTTTCGATTTAAATGCGTTGTGCACTCCGAAGAGTGAATATTCGGCCTTGTTGACTATTATATATCTCGTGGTTGGCAACAATGAAGTTAGTATGACGTATTAGAACACTCAATGTGAGCAACGCGAGCGACGAGTCACATCGTGAACAACGGTAAATATTGCACGTTAGAGGACGAATGGAGAAGGAAAGGGGAGGTGAGTGGAGAAAGATCAAAACTTACCATGATCGGAACTCCTTGGATGGGAATCGAAATACGGTTGGGAATCCTCAACTGCGGTCGTGGTATCACTGGTCACAGCCCGAGGTAAGCAACTCAATTCTTCCCGACTGGACACTTGGAGGACTACTTCTCCCAACCTGTAATAAGGGGACGGATGTAAGTGATTGGTCAAATGAGAGAATACTATCCCACTGTGTAATTATCCTTACTTTTTAACATTTGAAACTCCAAAACTAAGTACAATGCTTCCATCTTCCTTCCCCCTGGGGCGAACATCGTTGGGGCCGACCAAATTCGTTCGCTCTTGGGAGAGACGTTCATAAAATAGTACAAAACATGGTAAATACACGAAAACGAGTTGGCAGCACCACCTAACTTTCGCAAAGTTCAAGTGAGATTACTAGTGCCTATTGCGTTTGAAATCAGACACGAAACAAGATTTTAGTAGCAATTTACTCTGTCAGAAAGGAATCCATTGGTGATTTTCTTCCGCTTTGTTGTCTGCGGTATACAGCTAGTTGTTTTTCTGTTTTCTTCACGGGGCATAAATTACACGCACAATTCTACTGCAAATGTTTGCACTGGTTGTGCAGCTCGAACTACACTCCTCACCAGAACCTTTTCGCACTGAGCCATCTCTTCGCCGTCGTCACTTTCTGAGACTTACGTCTCTGCATCTTCCAAACACGTCGTGTTGTCATCTGACAGCGAAATCATGATGGCGGGAAAGACAACATTCTTATGACTGCGTGAGACTATAATGCCAATCCATCCGAAAACAACACCATCAATACGGTCATTTTCTGAACTGCCTGGTCGATCCATAAACATCAGACGTCAAATTGGTTCTTCAGAAATCCCACCGTTTTTGAACCATTTGAGGATGGTCGAACGAATGAGTGTGTCAAACAGTCACACCGTCCTTGCATTTTCGAACGCCGCTACATGAATCACGTTTCGCGATCATGCTACGCGTTGGGGCGGCTCTAAAATAAGAACCAGTCCCATCATCGTTAACAATGTTCTTCGAACGCAAGATTTTTCGCCGACTTGAGGTTCCTCGGTATTAACTAGTTTTGATGTTGACTTCATTCTTCATAATCATGTGAACTTGCGTTCTCCCATTCTTGTGCAAATTATTAATCTTTAGTTTTTCACCGAAGCTCAAGAGTGTCTTTTTCGTCGACCGTCCCGTCACGATTTAAGGGCGCTTGTGAGTTCTATTATCTTGGTGTGAAAGTTGCAGTGGTTATATTAAGTGAACACAACAGGCTTGCCAGCCATGAGATCAAACGCTGAAAGTACATTTGCGATAGCCACCACCGCAGTTGTCAATGTCTGTTGCAAACAACTGAGCGAGCATAGCAACACAATATACGCGGGATTCCTGAATAACCACTGACACTATTCCCCAAATGACTTTAATGACCTTCCGTTCACACAAACACACCCAATGTCAATTTCTGACACCTGTCAAAACGGAAGGACCCACGAGCATTCGTTAGCATAGGATCGTTACATTTTCTATCGGTGTGCAGGTACGCCACCGATCGCCTTGTTCGCCCGAAGGGAGCGTTCGCTCTTGAGGGGTTTCAGTGAAAAAATCAGTCGGGACCGGAGCAATTTTTTGCACCAAGCTAGTGACCATACTTCGGGAGCAAGCTTTAGGAGAGGAGCACGGTAATGATAGCACAAATCCTTTACGAGTTCATCCATGATGGCTGGAGAGTAAAGAATAAAGCGATCATTTCTTTGAAGGAACGAGCTCTTTAACTGGAAACTCAACCAAGATTAAGAAGTTGGAGGAAGGAGACCAAAGATAATACAGTCTTGGCATTCTCCAAGACGGAGAATCAGACCAAGGTTTGCAATTCATATGGAACCATCGAAGGAAGGATGACTGATCCAATCAAAAGTTCAAACCATAGTTTTATGAGACTGTCTTCATTTAGAAAATGAGTCGGTGCTCTGAGAAAGGTGAAGCATCACTGAACAAGCAGCATAATTGTTGACATGTTCGATACGATTTCGGATGTAGTTCCTGTGAACCAACAACATAAACTGAAGATCAAAAATTAGTTCTTGGCAGTACGAATGTAGTTAGGTAGGCATTCATCGAGACAATACAAATAAAAACAGGGTTAGGGATGGAGTATTTGTTCTAGGACGACCATTTTCTGACCAACATGGAATACGGCCAAATCACTGAAAACGGTAACGTTAAAGAAGGATAGAAAGTTGGTATTGTTAACTAAACTGTCAAGTTAGTTTGTCTTTAGACTACCACAGAAGTGATGGCTATGACAACGTTTCACACGGAGAACTGAGCACAGAGACGATATTCGTATACAGAACACAGATCTCGGTTTACGGATTAACCTCGATTCAGGTCCGCAGAGTTTTCCCAGCATAAGAAACTTCTAACCTCCAGTCCTCCTAAACCCCGATCAGGCAAGTTGCCAAATGAGCTTAAATCCATTTGGGCATAAGAAGAACGGTCCAAACTTCGGACTTTATGAAACGGATACACCAACCAGTGTGTACCGGACATGTTACCCAAACCATGTGAACATTACAGAATATTGCCAGTTGCAGGGGAGCAATATGTTTGTATGACTAATTTTGGATGCATATTGGTTTGAATGACGAAACGATCAGATATGAATTAGATCCCATTGCCCCCATATTCCTGAGTTTCAGCAGAATAACCTAGTACTGAAAGTTCGATCGCACGTACCTCTAATATCTGTCCACTTTCGAGATGTCAAGGCACACATATACATACATACACATACAGATACACGACCCTTGCCGTGTATGGGAGCGTTTCGTGTGCGTGAATAGAAGGGACACAGGACGGCTCACGATGGCGAATCGACGAAACGAACGTACGTGCATGAGGGCTGGGACAAACGATCCGATATTGCTGTTCTGTAGGAAGCTCATATGCGACAGCACAGGGACGCATGCAGTAACTGGTTTTCTGGTGTTGACTATCTGTCAACCCGTCAGCGCGTCGCGCCAAAAAGTACCTTCATCTGGCACAAAAAGAGTCAAGAGAACGAAGAGAGGGTGCGGATGTTCGATATGTGCAAACAACTCGTCTGCCCCGCCGATGCAGAAAAGGGATAAGCAAAAAAAGAGCCTGTGAGAGGGCGGATCGACAGACAGGTATACATAGACATAGCCTGTAGCGAAAAGTGAGCTGCTAGTACCACACATAGGTCAGCAACAATCGGTCTGAAACGAGTGAGTATCCCCATGATGGGACAAAGATAATTGTTTTTTAGGTAATCAGATGTGTGTGTGTGTGTGCACGCATAAGACAGAGAAGTACAAACTTTCGTGATTCTGAATGGGCACAAGCAAAGAAAGGCCTGGGCAGATTTTTAAATAGCCGGTAAATAAAGAATAGCGATGTCATCATATCGAAGCCGGACAAGGGAACAGGTATAGTGCTTCTCAACAGGTCAGATTATATTGAGAAAATGGATACCATTTTGAATGAAACATCTAAATTCACGAAAATGGTCACAGAAAAAGACAAGACACAACAAGTGGAGAAGTCTCTATCCAACTTGCTGCGACTTTTGAAACAAAGGGATATGATAGACTCGGCCACATTTGAACGGATACGCCCTACGGGAACAACCATTCCCAGATTGTACGGGTTACCGAAAACACATAACAGTGGAGTCCCATTAAGACCTATCCTCGACATGTGTAATTCACCATACCATACGGTGGCTAAATGGTTGGCAAGGTTGCTGGAACCGGTAAGACAGGCAATGTCGAAGTACGGCCTCAAAGACACATTCGAATTCGTAAACTGCGTGAAAGACCTAAACGTGAAAGGCTGTCGGATGCTTTCATTAGACGTCAGTTCACTTTTTACCAGCGTCCCAATTGGTGAAACTATCGATTACCTATGTGACTACATTGAAAGGAACACAATTGAGACAGGCATACCCCTAGAAGATCTGAAACAGTTGCTATTTTTCTGCACATATAACATTCAGTTTAAATTTAACAACCAGATCTATCGTCAAAAGGATGGGGTAGCAATGGGCTCCCCACTCGGACCACTACTTGCGGATGTCTTTATGGCAAAGTTAGAAAATGGCCCACTTGAATCTACAATCCAAAACTGTATTGTATACAAACGCTACGCAGATGATATTTTCTGTGTTATCAACTCGTCAGAACACATAAGCCAGCTGTTGGACAGCTTTAACTCAGCTCACACAAATTTACGTTTCACAATAGAAATAGAGTCAGATAATACAATCGCCTTCCTTGACGTTCGGATGAACCGCCTTGAAGACGGCTCAATTAGCCGGTCGGTACATAGAAAAGCAACGTGGAATGGGCAATACATTCACTTCCACAGCTTCGTGCCTCTAAAGATTAAAAAGAACCTAATTCGATGCATCACAAACAGGGCAAGAAGAATATGTTCGGAGGACACCGTTGAAGAAGAGCTGCAAACGGTGCGAACAACTTTCATCCAAAACGGCTACCCGGACCGGCTGGTTGAGAAGATAATGCGAGTTGAAGTGGAAACCCCAAGGAAGTTCGGGGTGGAAAGAAAGCCGATATACATCTCTTTGCCACTCAAGGGTGATACGTTGGCAGAGACTGTGCAGAGAAGATTGTCAGGGGTAATCAGCAAAACTTTCTACGCAGCTAAGCTCCGGGTTCTGTTCGAATCCCGGCCGGTAGTGCTTTTGCGGTTGAAAGACAAAGTGCCTGATTCTGCAGCCTCATTTTGCGTTTATTCATTCACTTGTTCCTGTGGAACAACGTATATCGGCCGCACGACCAGGCGTTTGTCTGAACGCATCCGCGAACACCACCCTGCATGGTTGAACACTGGAGCAGTTAAGTCACTCACTAGCGCTATCGTTTCACACCTTGCGCAGACTAATCACACAGTAAACGTGGCTGAGGCCTTCCATGCGCTGTATAAGGTTCGGGGTCGGCAATCAAGACCGGCAAAGTGTCGCATGCTAGCCACAGCTGAGGCCGTCAGCACCCGTCTCCACAACCCCCCTCTATGCGCTCAAAAACAATTTGTATGTGCCCTTAAGCTTCCCTGGCCCTCCGTCCACCCTACAACAGTCCATAGAACAGATGAAAACTGAAAATACACGAGAAAAACAATACACATCCGGTTTTGATTTGAGCCCGGATTACATTTGTTTTCTTCCCCTCCCCCACCCCCCTTTCATTATTAATTTTGTCACTTCCCATTTGTCTAATTGGTTCAACCCTTTGACTTGTAATATATTGTGATGTAATGGCATGATTATGAATCACTGAAAACGAGCTTGTTCGCCAAACTGTGTTCTCCAAATGTGTTCATTGGGAATTTTCCGACAAATAAAAGGTTCGACGACAAAAAGGTGGAGGAAAGCGAATGTAAGGGGATAAACCAAAATAACTGTTCACCTGTTGAACCGTGGGGTCAATGGTGACCCGGATACAAAATCAGAGTGACGGATCGTTTTATTTTGTGTGATGCAAATGATTCAGTGGATTCTAGCGAAATATGATAAGGGAAATGAACATTTAGCAAACAAGTGTCCGCAGAATTGTAGCTCCTCGTAGGTTCATTGGATCCAACCGTAACAATTCACGACTACAAAACTAAAGTCCGATCCTGTCTCAGTTTCAGTCTTTACCACTGCCGATCTCGTATGAATGCCATCACTTGGTATTAATGTAAGCTTGACAAACAGTATGAAACAGAGGAAGAGAGAACTAGAGCGGAATGAAGCGGATAGGAAAACGCTAAGCTCAGTTATGACACCTATTGCAAAACATTGTTTAGTAACCACCAGGTTAGGTAAGTGCACAATGCTAAGCTGTAGCCTACGGACGATCACTGTCGCTGCGGATAAAATACTAGCTGAGATAGCCGGATATCTCATATCAGCGTTTTGTCGCTCTTTCAGACGATCCAGACAAAAGACGACACTGACGATGGTCGAGTACCAACAACTTACATCATGCACGTATATATAATAATAATAATAGTTGATGCGTAGAAAATATATTCAAACCAGAATGGAAGAGGAACAAATCAAACGCGTACGATCTGACGGCATTGAAATTGTAACAATAAGCTGATGAAGAGCAACAACAGTAACAGCAACAAACCTGGATGTTGCGTCGTCGATCAAAGATTGAACTTGGTGCACAGTCAAACCGTCCAGCGAGGTGTCTCCGATGGACTGAATGATATGACCGGGTTCGAGGCCAGCCTGGGCTGCCGCACCAGATGGCAAAACCGATGTGACTTGGGTAATACGCAGAGCAGTATCTGTTTCCCGGGAAAAGAATACAGGTAATGGAAACAAAAGGAAAGGTACTGGTTGTAGAAAAAGTTGAACAAGGTCAAAAGAGGAAAATGAAGATAACCAAGGTTTGTTCAATGGATTCGTTGAACATATGAAAACGACAAGTTTCGAAGATGGTAAGTCACATAAGACATTTATTTGCTAAGCTTGATAGCATTGTGAGATTTCAAGTCGATTTACTTCATACTAAGTGGAAACAGACTCAATAATCTATTTCTGTTAGCATCTTTTAAATAAGCATTATATATATATATATATATATATATATATATATATATATATATATATATATATATATATATCATCCTTTAGACCACAACTGAGAAGTTAGGACGAGACAACTGAAGTCAGTATTAACGTCAGCTCCTCTATACCTAAGTAGAAAGTAACGATTTGACTTCCGTATCGTTTCTTCCAGCCGCATCGGCATTTGCAAATAGCGTAAATTATGCTACGTGATAGCAAGCACGCGCAAAACATATCCAAGCCATCGGAAGTAATGCAGTGTGAAATATCGACATTTATCCAAATTCAACACAAGGCGACAAACACGTTCCTTCACACCTGGTGGTTGTAACAATATTTCTGCATAGACACCACTAGTCGAATGTGGTTAGCCACCAAGCGTCGTCAATGCGACACTCTCCGGTCCCGCAACAACAATGCAGTAACATATGAAGTATATGCACAACTTTTATTGGATTTAGGAGAAAACCCGTAGTGGTCCGTAATCATAGTTAGAATGCGTACAGCGTTTTCCACTGATTTGTTAGTTGTGTACATCACAAAAGGTGTTTTTAGGCACAAGATTCTCATTTTGGAAGTTCACTCTGTACTTGGATGTAGTGCAGCGCATAGTTTGATAACTAATTCCACGAGCGATTTAGATCGCAATATTGCCTGGGCGTCATTGCCAATCAAGAAAAAATCATCAGTATGTTCAGCATTTCCTGCAAATCGGAGACATTATTTTCGACACCAAGATCACTGATTTCTTCTCACTGCTTTGTACAGATAATCATGTCGCATTAACAACCATGTTTAGTTAAGTTCAAACAACCAATAACCATGCACTGGATGCGATGGTTTTGGTTGCTATCTCTTAGTAGGGACCTCCATCGGAAATATAAATAAGAAAAACGAGAGTCTGAAAAGTGTGGGGAGAGAACTACAAATAGTACTGTGAATTATCAGAGGAAATTTGTCAATAGATGAGCACCACTAGCCACGACACCTTGCAATATATTCCAATGTAGCTAATCACTGAATGAGTGAATCACTTGGGCCCCACCCAGGAAGCTAAACACACCCTAAACGGCCAAGTTCGACTAAGTTTCCATATCATGGATTGACCGCCTTTGCTCATCTCCCAAACATTACCAGTCTCAGACGACAAAGTGCACCGAGTAATCCTATCCGGGGAAAGTAGCAGTACATATCCCAACCACCTAGGCCTGGTGAGCTTCAGTGTTTCATCTAACAATTTGTTTCGTATGCCTAAGACTGTGCGCCTGACCTCATGATTACTTACACGGTGTTTCCACCAGCTCCGAGCAATGTGACGTTCAATTACTGATAATTTTCGCGTTTATTTGTCATCCAAATGGCCATGTTTTTCGAACGAAAAGACAAACTAGTCTAACTGCTTCACCGTGCATTCGACTCGTAATAGACAAGCGGATGTCTCGTCGAAGCCACATATTTCATAGGCTGATAAAAAGTGAGCGGGCTTGCTGCTTATGCTGTGGCGCTTCATTCGATATCTGACCTTCGAGTGAAATGCAGCTACTTAGATAAAAAGAACTGATCTACTTTGCTTGAAACCTCCGCAGATACCGCAAGGCTTGGTGTTGAACCAATCCAACCCAACCCAACCGCCTAAACGTGTTCCAAACAGCTGCACAGTTGTTCAAACTGTTAAGAAAAACTTGCAACTTACCTTCTATCCTCATATGACAAAAGCGCGGTTTCTGGGACCGTATCAATTATGAAGTTAAACAGAAAAAGAGAGGAAGGAACGTCACTGACGTACACCACTTACAGGCAACGTCGACCGTGATGCGTTCGAAAATTTACTCAGTAAACAGTTCGACCTTCGTGACTTAATTAAGCTATATCACAACATCGTGTAATGATATTAATTCACTCCAATTTTTCCGTCATTTATGATGATTCTTTGTTGCGGTATGGGCAGTTGAATGTGTGTAACCTTGTTCGCTAAGGTAAAGGCTCCGAGTAAAGTACGCTAATAACTACCGAGATATGGAAATACTAAAATAATATGCAAAACCATTTAAGTTGTTCTGTGTTATACACAGATAGGTTTACTGTCTAAATAGTTCGATGGGAGCCTTTTTCTCAACCAAAACAGTTTTTCACGGTTGACGTTATACGCATTACGTCCAAAAAACTGCCGTCAATTCCTGTTTTCAAACGCGTGAAAGTATCCTCAGGCACTTTTACTCCCTGCTGCACATTAGGTAGCGGCAATTTGAAATGAGGCCAGTATCAGCTGACACCAAGCCTATATTGAACGTCTAACAAAAAAGGGCATGTATTGATTTCATCGGGGAGTCCAAATCACGCAGTCTGTCATTTTGGCGATGGGCTTTTCTCTCATATGAATGACTGCTATGTGATGAGTCGTAGAAGGCTCCGACAAAAAGTCACTTGGTGTATGAATTTCCTCCAAAAACGTATCCCGAAGAATGCCGAGACATCACACCAACCAAAATCACTGATTTGGATCAGAATAAATCATGGCTGGCTTTGTGAGGGTTGTGGCAGATACGCATTTAAACGCCCCGGTTCGGCGGTCAGATAGCACGCCTTCACCCGTCCAGAATCAAGGGCAAGGTTGAACTCAGAGAAGCAGATCGATGATTTGGCAAGCAGACAAAATGGTATCACCTGTCCAGAATCAAGTACAAGATTAGAGCCAGCGAATCCGGACGATGGACCTATCGGTGACCAACAGTTGTCTAAACCGACCGGAGCCGAATCAGTTGGGTTGCGACCAGACCAGTCAATCAGAAGAGCCGCTCGTCAATAACAATTGAGCCAATAAGTTTGCATGCAAGAATTCGGTTACGGCCATCGTATGCCTTACATAGATGATCTATTTAGTAACAAGTCGAGGTGATGCGAAGGCGGAAAAGTTTTCTCATTAGCGTTTGTAGGCGGTTACGAAACGGGCTTTGTTGGTGGACTTCAATTGGAGGCATCTCAAAAAGTGGGAAAATCCTCAGCGTTAAGACTGAAAGATTCCCCGAATTCAACGAAATGATATCACTTGGGTGGGTAATAAGTTTTCAGGAAAAAGTTGCATGCCACCTTTTACAAGAAGTTTCTGAATATATTCATGCGAAACCGTTCGTCCGCTCAGTATTCACTTTTAGACTTGTGTAATTATGTGCAACCTCCGGGTCCAGTTCATACAGTTGTTCTCTAGTAGTGCAGATTTAAATATAATCATAAACATCTCTGTTCTGAAGAGAGAAGTCAACAGACCAACTACTGGAGTCAAAAGTGCAATAACACATGATGGAACATGAGATAAAAAATGATTTCGTCACCAACCTGGTGGACTCTGTGCCGAAGAGACTGTGACAAATCTTGAACGTTTTGTTTCTATTGTTATTTGTGTGATTTCAATGTAAATAAATCTTGGGTACCTAATGAGCGGCAACAACCGCGAGACCGGTCGTGTGCTTCAGGGGAATATTTGACCTGCCATCCAGATACAATACAATGCCACCAATAGTATAAGTAAATCTTGTTTCATTTTTCCTCAGGGGCCTATATCCTATCATGGTTGCGGCCGACTGGCGGTAGCAAAATAGGGTTTCGTCTGAATTCTGAGCATCTGTTCGCTACCTACAAGTAGACCCCAAGGCTTATTGTCCGTGTGATCCCTCGAATTTCCACTCTGCATTTTTTCTACGGAAAACTTGAGCAATCAATCTCCGTCGCAACTGCTGTCGAGCCAACTCGCTAACGTAGATCACAATACGACAGCACAGCAAGTCAGACGACTGCATTCACATGGATGAGCGATATGATATTTAAAGCGAAAACAAAACATTCCCGAAAATCGGGTGTCAACGCAGACTAATTTCGCCTCGTCGGGTCGATTAGTTTTGCAACATTCCTGCTAGCATGGTCGATTGGTCTTTGATCCAATTCTGTTGAACTGCTTGCAAATGTCCGTTCGCCTGGTAAGTAAAGCCTTATGCGATGTACCGACTTATTGTATATTGACTGATCGATCCGAATTGACACGCTCCAAGCAATTAGTAACTTGGCTTCAGGGAGGTTTTCGCGACTCTCTGACAGTCCTAAACCCTGGGCACCACTTGCTAGTTATCGTGGATATAAAATAACATAGTTCTGTATTGGTGATTTCGTGCACAAGAATAAAACGTACTTATCACACGCCCGTATGCATCAGTCTCGACGAATTTTTTTATTACGTGCGTGCGCACAAGGGCAACGGAAGGGGTGTATCTCATAGCCACAAAGACCCACTGCACTATAGGGATAACTGGCAACCAGACCCTAAGACTTGGAGTGGAGAACCATATAATACCTCAATAGTTCAGGTGTGGTAACGATCCAGACGATAGCGGATTACTGTCTACCACCAAAGTAACGGGTGAAGACGGGGATTCGAACCGCGGACCTCCGAAGTGGTAATCCAACGCTCTAAACCATTCGATTGCCACCAGATGTTGGAGTAAACATGGGTAAAAGATCACAGGCCCCAACTTCACTTCGACTACTCCCGTACAAGGGCTTTATGACAGAAATGAATCCCTCCGGCAAACCCTCCAACAAAAGGCAGCAACAGAGAACTGTGCGATCGGGTAAGTCGAATGCGGCTTTTCGATCAAGAAAACAGATACAAACCAATTGCACCGCTGCATACGACCACGCGATTACCGCCTGTGATGATATTATTGAC